TTGATAATGAATAATTTTTTTTAATAAAGACATTGTAGGGACAATGTAAGGAATTTGTATATTGGAGAAAAATAAAGACAATATAACTAATAAAATTATTTCTCTTAATTAATTTATTGATAATGAAATTTTTTCCTTTAAAAAAAAAAAGATAATGAAAAAGATAATAATTATCATTATTTTTTTTTTAAGAAAAAATTTCATTATCAATAAATTAATTAAGAGAAATAATTTTATTAGTTATATTGTCTTTATTTTTCTCCAATGTAAAAATTCTTTACATTCAAATTCATTAATTGATTATATTCACTACATTGTCTATTATATTTTTTGTGCAATGTATTTTTTTTGGGTTCCTGGTTCCACTTGGCTAGTCTTGGTTCCTTGCACCTAGAAACTGGTTCCCCAGTTCATGACCCCACTTTGTTCCCCCTCGTAGCACCTGGACCCTGGTTTTCCTGTTCCTAGCCCCACTTTGTTCCACCTCGTCGCAACTAGACCCTAGTTCCCCTATTCCAGACCCCACTTGGTTTCTACCTGGTATTAAGTTCACCTAGCACTATTTTTATTTATTTATTAAATATCAAAATTATAATACAAAATAATGCAATATATTTATTTACCAAGTATTTTATTAATACTATGAAAAACTTTTAAAAATATAATTAATAAAGCCAATCATATTAACTACTTGATTAATTTGTTGACAAATAAAGTATTTAAATCACACAACAAATTGAAGTGAGAACTATCTTGCAATGTCCTTGTTTGACAATCAGCATTTAGCGGTTAGCATTAACGGATAATACTAGCGGATTTGACATGTGAATTATATCAACAGTTGGTAAAAAGATATTTGAAAAAATTAGTTGTTTAGATTAACATACCAGGACTATGTGGTCCAATGGTATCCGGGTTGGACTTCCATTTGGAAGGTTGTGAGTTCGAGCCTCTCTTTGTGTTTCAGTAGGTTGAGAAAGTATATGAACAGATACTACAATGTAATAGAGCTAGTAGCATTCAAAAAAAAAAAAAAAAAGATTAACATGTAAAATGACCTAAGGGTATACATATATTTAATAATAATAATTGTTTTAAAAAAAATAAAAAAATATAATTAAGCGAATCATATTAAATACATGGGGGTTTATGGACAAAAAGAGTATTCAAATCACACAACAAATTGAAGTTGGAAACTACCTCGCAATGTCCTTGTTTGGCAATCAGCAGTTAGCTATTCAATATTAGTATATATTTAATATTTTATGCCCTAATTTTTATTTGCTCTCCTTCATTTCCCGTATTTGGTTTCAATCATACCTATACAATTATTTTATTGACAATTATAATCAATCTTGACACTGTTATCTTGCATTTGTAAACTTAGAATTACCTATTTAAATACGCAAATTCAACATTCAATTATCTATATGCATGAACATTCCAATATAATCTTGCCTGGATAAACTTTAAAGTACTTATTTAAAAAAATGAGTATTTTTTTATAATAAAAAAGGGTATTATCTCAATCGCGCAATACTCATAAAAAACTAGTATATATATATATATATATATATATATATATATATATATATATATATATATATATATATATATATATATATATATATATATATATATATATATATATATATATATCAAAATGATTAAATAGTAATTGTAGATATATGTTTAATTATGGATATAATTCAATTGGAATCTTAAGCATTATATTAGGGAGATTATGAATGGAAATTGATATTTTAAATTATTAGGGACCTATCAATGGTAATAATTAATTATATTTTGTACATCTGAAATTTTAAATTATGAGAAATTTTACGGCGGTGTGTGTGTGTGGAATGGTGGTGTGCATTTTATAGTTTGTCATGGTGTACACCTCCTGTTACAGAAAACCGCACACACCATCGCAAAATTCCCCACAATTAAAAAAAAAAAAAAAACAAAACAAAAAACAAGCCCAATACTATATCTACGTTTCACACACGCCCGAAACTAGTAAAACCCAAACCAAAATGAGCATGCCTATATCACGAAACGCACATACCAAAACGCATAATTTTATGAAAAAATCAGCACGCCATGGTGTACGAGCCCTGTTACAGTAAAACGCACACACCATTCCACACCCACGCACACACCGCCGTAAAATTCCAAAGAAAATTACTAAGAGAGAGAGAGAGAGAAAAATATTGATTAAGGAGAGCTGAAATAACGCTACAAATCCTCTAATATAAAATAGCAATAAGAAGCAGTTAATGACTATTGCAAAAATTCCCGCCTAAGTAAAACGACAGCGTTAGCAATGGGTATTCCACTTATTGAAAATCTGATTTCTTTAAACATTGGGTTTATAAAAATATTAATTGAGCAGTCCAAATAATTATGGCAACTATTCCGTTTAACGAGGCGATGAATCGATTTAAAGCTTCTGGGAAGCGTATCCAGAAGCAACTCTTGAGTTGGTACACACTAAAGTCTATATATTACAGATTACAGAAGCGCAATGAAGGTTTGAATACAAACAATCGCATTCCCAGTAGCTAATTGTAAGATTCAGTCTTCTATTCCATCATGGTTCTCTTCATTCTGGGACGTGATTTGTCAACCTTCAAAACAAGAAGCGCAATGAAGGTAAATAAGTTTTTTCAGTTTGCAGTTATGAAATTATCAAGCATGGTTATGTTTTCATGACGAGATTTCAAGAACAAAATATTTCAAGAACATTTTGAATGGTAATCGTTATTGTTTTTTCTTATTATTTTTTCTTCAAAGATTTTTGTACAGATTTTACAAACTGTCAAGAGTTGTCTGCTAAATGAGTTCTCATCATCCAAGATGGCTTAGAAGATAAAAGAAAGTAGTGTCAAAGTTGAAAAGAAAGAGTAATGGTTTGGTTGATGTATTGCAAACTGTCTCTTAAAAAACATTGTTTCAAAGTGGTGGTTTAGTTGTTGAACAATTTTGCATTATGGCAATCGTGTTCTTGAACTGTAAGAGTTTTGGTTTACAATAGATATTTTTATATCTTTTGCTATGGCTTTTTGCAGGAACCAAGAATGCTTGGCAGATTCACATGTACCAGTCAGGGGCTTGAAGACTGTTTAGTATGTTGTCGCTCAATGTCATGTATTCTTTTCTTTTTCGTTTTGCAGGAAAAAGAAAAATATTAGAATCAAAGTACTGAACACATTTGAAGAATATTCCTATCTTCCCAAAAGTCAAGTAATATTAGACAAGAAAGGCTGGCAGAATGGCTTAACAACACTGTTCATAGAATAAGTTTTTAAAATGACCTATTTAGTTAGTACCTATCCTAATGTAATAATTTTACTGTTGTATAGAATTTTTTACAATTATTTTCTGCCAACAAACCAACATTGTTTGGATTGAAAGAAACTTTATGGTCCCTGTATTAGGCCATAGAGATATGTAATGATTAAAAATATCTAATTCACTTCCAGTCATGCAAACAAAAAGTGTCAAGCTACATTTATCAACCGGGCAATCAATTGACACTCTTAACTAATATTAAACACAAACAAATAAATATTGAATTGAAATAAGAATTCACACATACCTACTATGAAGTGGAAGCCAGAACCTTAGAGCAGTAGAACAACATATGTATTAATACTGTAATTTAAAAAATGACCTGTTAAAAAGAGTTTAATCAATTAACACTCAATAAAAAAGCTGTGTTCTAACCAAGACAGTAAGTAATATTTAACATATATATATATATATATATATATATATATATATATATATATATATATATATATTAAGCACATAAATATTTATATTTAATAAAAACTATTAAGCTTATAATCGTGCAGCTCTACATGTAGAGAGTCAAAGTATGGAAAAACAATTGACTGATGAACAAAGGAAAGTATATGAAACAATCTTGGGCGATGTCTGGTTGAACAATGGTGGTTTGTTCTTTGTATATGGCTACGGGGGTACCGGGAAGACATTTCTTTGGAGGGCGTTGTCTGCAAAATTGCGTTCTAAAGGTGATATAGTTATCAATGTTGCTTCAAGTGGCATAGCATCATTACTTCTGCATGGAGGCAGAACTGCACACTCTAGATTTGCAATACCGATCTCTTTGAATGAAGATTCAACATGTAATTATCAGTCAAGGTAGCCACCTTGCAGAACTAATTTTGCAAACAAAGTTAATAATTTGGAATGAAGCACCAATGATGCACAAACATTGCTTTGAGGCCTTAGATAGAACACTGAGGGATTTGATGTGATTCAATGATCCATTGAGTTATGATAAAACTTTTGGTGGTAAGACTGTTGTCTTTGGGGGTGACTTTAGACAAATCTTGCCTGTAATACCTAAAGGTACTAGACAAGACATTGTAGGAGCTATTATAAATTCTTCTTATCTTTGGGATACATGTAAAGTTCTTAGATTAACAAAGAATCTAAGATTGAATAGGATGGAGCCTGGTGTTGATCTACAACAAGTTGAAGATTTTGCAAAATGGATTGCATCCATCGGAGATGGAACAATGGGTGGACCGAATGATGGTTATGCAAATGTTAACATCCCACCGGAAATGTTGTTGCCCTCTACAGGTGACCACATAGCCACAACTGTAGATAGTACATTTCCTATGTTCAAAAATGGTGGATGCGATCATAAGTATCTAGAAAGTCGCTCAATATTGGCCCCAACTCTTGATGTGGTTAACTCCATCAACGAGTATATGAGTCATTTGCATGTAGTTGAGAGTAAGACATACTTCAGTTGAGACACAGTTTGTAAGTCTGACTCAAGTGACGGTATCCTTGCAGATGTGCATACTCCAGAGTTTCTAAATGGGTTGCGAGCATCTGGTATCCCCAACCATGCTCTAACACTTAAGGTGGGTTCTCCTGCAATGTTATTGCGAAATATCGATCACTCGATGGGGTTATGCAATGGTACTAGGTTGGTCATTACCAAATTAGCGGAGCATGTTGTAGAAGCAAAGATAGTTTCTGGTAACAATTGCGGGACTAGGGTGTTGATACCAAGGATGTCGATGACTCCGACTGATATAAGATTGCCTTTCAAATTTCAAAGAAGGCAATTTCCGCTTATGCTGTCATATGCAATGACCATTAATAAAAGCCAAGGACAGACGCTATCTCATGTTGGTATGCTGCTGAAGAAACCTGTTTTTGTACATGGTCAATTGTATGTTGCTGCTTCAAGAGTTAGCAACCCGAATGGTTTAAAGATCTTGATTGGCAACGAAGGTGCTATGAGTTGCACTTCAACTACAAATGTTGTTTATCATGAAGTGTTCAATAATTTGTAATTTTAATTCAACTTTAACCAACTTTTCCTTTTAGCAATACATACTCTCTTATTCTTACATGTAAATTAAATTTTCACAATCATTAACTTTTATGAAAAATAACTTTAATGTTAAAAATACTTAACTTATTTATGTATAAGTAATATCCGTGCATCGCACGAGTACAATACTAGTCTTTATAAACATGGAAATAAATGAAATGAAAAGTAATAAATATAGTGCTTAAGGACAAAAAAACCCATGCTTCATCTAAAATCAGTATAACATGGGATCCAAGTGGTAATCAATATGAATCGTCAAAAAATTAAAATCAACTATCAGGGAGTGTGCTCACGGGCTCGGCTGACTAGGGGGTGTGCACAGGATTCAAAATATATATATATATATATATATATATATATATATATATATATATATATATATATATATATATATATATATATATATATATATATATATATATATATATATATATATATATATAATTTAAAAACAAACTTAAATCTTATGTCTTGTTAACCCTAGGTCTTCTACACAGAGTCACAGACTACTCCTCTGTCCTCTCCGTTTCTCACTTCCTCGTTTCTCTTCTCCCACCCCGACGTAGCCGACAGCCCACGCCCCACAGTCAACGACGCCAAGCCTCACTCACCGAGTTGCCGCACGCCCTCCGCAGTCTGGCCTCGGCGCCTCGCTGCCCACTCTGCAACCTGCGTAGGTCGACTACTCCTCCGTCCTCCGTCTTCACTCTCACAAATTTGTTGCGTAGGTCGACTACTCCTCAGTCCTCTGTTTAATATTACAGTGCTGTGCTGCTTAATATATTTATTTTAATATATATATTAGTTCTTCATTCCCACAATTATTTGTAATATATTTTGGTGGTGTGTTGCGTACTGTGCTGGCTTGCTGCGTACTGTCACTACTGTGCTGCTTAATTATTTTAAGGAGTGGTGTAGATAGATAATATTTTAAGTCATAGATTGAAGAATGCAATAGAGTTTCACAGGTTAATATATAGAAATTAGAATCCTAATCGCATACTCCAACACCTTACTGGCATAGTCTATACCTCCATACCTAGCCCGCAGCCGGCACTTCACGCAGCCACTCACTTACTCTCCTCGCCACCGACCACCGTAGCCTGAGCCCTGAAGTCTGAACGCTGTAGCCTCACTGTCATTTACCACTGTTGAAGACCGACTTGCAACCACAGACAGAGGTATGGGGATACTTTCTTTTTATTTTCTACAACTTGTACCTTTTCCCCCCTTTTAATTGTTTGTTACCATGGGTATCTTAAATTTTTGCTTCTGTTTAATTTTGGCTGAATTTGGTGGTTAACCTGTTAGCAATGCCTAATTGCCTACTGAAGAACTCAAGAACTCACAATTCCATGTTAACTTCCAGTAAACTAGTTCCAGTTTACTGGAACCAGTTTAGTTTACTGGTTCCCACCAGTTTACTACCAGTCTACTGGAATTAAATTCCAGTAAACCAGTTTAATTCCAGTAAACTGGTTCACTGGAATTTCATTCCAGTTTTCAGTAACAATTCTAATGTTATTCCATATTTGACAATTGACACGACCATGTGTTGGAATTTGAACTATGTTATGTTTGGTAGTTAGTACTTAGTAAAATGTTTCAACTTTGGATTGTTATTTTGTGACTTTGAATTTGGACTATGTGAATACCGAACTGAATTAATCCTGAACCAAAACCGAACTTTTTCAAACCGAACCCAATGGTATCATTTTTTTTTTAAATACCGAAACACCGAAAAACCGAACCGAATCCCGAAATGCCCACCCCTATCGCAGACTGCAACAGAACCCTTGCCATGTATGCCATCCACTGTTCTGGTTTTTTGAAATCTCATCGGCTCAGTCTCCGTCTGCCAGCATCACCGGTCGCTGACAACTTCTCATATCCTTGCCAGCGACCAGTGTTGCCTGACTTGCCTCACCTGGCCAGCCGCGACTACTCTTGGCCTCAGGACGTCAGAGTAAGCCCAGTAGCCCACCATCTCCCGGCCTTTATGTAGTTGTTTGCTCACAAATTCTGTCAATGTGTGGTTATGTATAATATATTATATTATACATGTCTGGCTGTTAGTTTTTGGACTAATTGTGTTTCAGATATGCACAAGGATTATGTTAGTTCAAGCTTAAACATTATGCACTGAATTGGAGTAACCCAATTTTATGTCTTTTTAACAAGTCACATTTTTCAGATAATCTTCATATTTCTGGTTTTCTTAATTAATTTTGGCCTTTCTGTTCTGTGATTTTTGGCAGTTGATATTCATTTCTGAGCAGATACTAGATAATGGGTAAGGTTTTCTTGGATTTCCCAATTAGTTTACTGCCTATAAAAGAAATGAAAACAACTACTTCATAGCATTTTTGGCTTTTCATTTATCTTTTTTTTTTTTTTTTTTTTTTTTTTTTTTTAAATAAAAAATTTGTTTAAAAAAAAACCTTTTTGTATCCTTTTTCTAGCAGATGAAGATAATAGATCTAGAAGAGAACGCAGGAAGGAAGCTCGTTTATCGATGAACAAGAAGAAGTTTGATTCATGGCTTCAACATCATCATGTAAGATGCTTATTGGAATAACATAGGAGTCCTTTAGGCTGGTTTGGACTTTGGAGAAACTCATTGGGTTATGCAGAATCATTTTCTAGCAGTTTCTTAAATAATCTTTTTCACAGATTGCAAATATTGATTTTAGTCTTCTATTCCTACATCAATAAATTGCAGAAATCATTGCCAGTTTTGAAGTCAAAGCATGCAAAAATACAGCAGGGGATTGTAGGCCCAAAAAGTAGTGAGGCTATGTCCAAGGATTCTGATAGTGAAGCAGAACATAACATTGAGCTTTCTCCAGTAGTGGAAAACACAGAAGTTAAGACAAACAATTTGAAAAGGAAACGTGACTTAAGTTCAAACACAAGGTTCAATGAATATCTGGAAATGGAGATGACAGGAGGGGTTAATTCTGCAGAGGATGATATGAGACTGGAAAGGAAACTTGCAAAGAAACTCAGAGTCAAGGATGGGAAACTGAGTGGTGGTGATGATATTAATATGTTATTTGAAGGAATTCCGTCTATTCTTAACTCTGTTGGTGAAGTACAAGAATTTTCAAAGGGTAAAAAGAGTCGCACTTCAGGCACGAAGAAGAAATTAGTGGATGTGGATGTGAATGTAGTGGGTGAAGTAGTTGATAAAAGGGTTAGAAAATCTGATTCTATATCTGCTAGCTGCGATGGCTATAATCATATAGAGGAATTTGATGGGTTAAAAGAATTAGATAAGCCAAAAAAGAAAAAAACAAATTTTGAAAAGTACCTTGAATTGGAAAATGGCACAAGTTCAGCTGAGGAGGATCTAGCTTTGGAGAAAAAGCTTGTGAAGAAGCTCAAGGTTAAGGGAGGGAAATTAAATCGAGATGATGATGGTATTAATATGTTATTTGATGGCATTCCTTCTGCTCTTGAATTGTTTGAGGGTGAAAAACTCCAAGGTCCTCGAAAGATCTTGGATGAAACATTGCATATAAAATCTAAAAGCTTGAAGTCAGTCAAACAAAAGCAAGTCATAAAAGGAGAGCAAGATCAGGATCAGGTGTCTGTAAAGACAACTGATAAAGCACTTAGAGCATCTTACCCAGCAACGTCTTCAGGTATTGAGATGGGACTGGGAAGACTTGCTCAAGCTGCATTTGGAGGAAATACAAAATATATTGCCCCACACTTGAGATCTCATATGGGAAATGAATCACAAGACCATGCTCAAATTCGTAGACGAATCCGAGGTATGGGGTCTTAGGAACTGTTTCGGTATTTTGCACAATACATGTTTGTTCCTGTTATTCGGATTTCTGGTGCCCTAACTCAACTTCTTCTAGGTCTTTTGAATAGGCTCTCTGAATCTAATGTGGAATCAATTACTGGTGATATGTCTACAATCTTCCATGTAAGTTACTAAACCCTTCACACAATTGACTTGACACTAAATTTAGGCAAAAGAATATATTGTCTTTATTAGAATTGAGAGTAAAAAATTGCTAATTTATTATGTGTGTGCCCAGAAAGTAAGGTAGTAGTGTATTTTGGAGTGCATGGATGTTGGGCAAGTGTGATGGTATGTGTTATTAATAAAAAAGAGTTGCACCTCATGTCTCTAAATGATGGTCTCATTTAAAATGTAGTTCTATTATAGGATGAGATCTGTGTGTATACTATTTAGTTTATGATTGGCTAAAAAGAATTTGTTAATGTATTAGAGTTCCAATAGACCTTTCCTGCAAATGTATTGTTAGGCAGGATAAAAATGGTTAATTTTTTCCAGTACTGATAGATTACACAGGTTTTGTCCAGGTATTTCCTTCGGTTTTAGTGGCTTCCAAGTGTCACAAGATGATTTTTCTGACCTGTCATTTACTCATGCAATCATTTATGAGAGCTAAACACAATTGTCATTCTCTGTATATGTCCTTTCAGTATTGGTGACTTGGTGTTTTCCCGAACTGACATTCATTTTAATAGTATAGAATACTTAAAAGCTTTTCTATGTCTTGAACTTAGCTCATGTCTTCTGTGTAGATTGGTCTTTCATCATTCACGGGAAATTCAAATTTGTACCTGAACTCCCTTGTCTCTTGAACTTGCAGACGGTTGATTGCAGTCTTCGTTCATTAATTATAATTGAAGAGGTTTTGGCATCATGTTCCGGAGGTCCACGCGGCAATGAACAGTTAAGAATGCAACTCTTTGTGTTTTTCTTTTCAAAATTTTCATGATGTAGCTTGTCTGTCTGGTTGCATATCTTTCCTATCTTATTTATGCATGCAAAAAATATCAGGTTGATTTTCATGTAGTTTATTCTTTCTTAATAGAGGATAATATTTTGATAAATGCAGAACCAAACTCTTTCCATCTTTTGTGTTCTAAACTGTTGAAGTAAAAAATGGGAGGAATTTGATATGCCATCATTGGCCAATTTAATGTATAAAGTTTCCTAATAAATAGTAGGATGAATCCATGGTGATTTGTATCACCAACATTAGCATTAGCTAGTGCACAATGCTTCTGGACAATTGTAGTAACTACAATTAGTTAAGTTTGTCCATGGATTGCATAGTTGTTTGATATCTCTGTATTCTTTAGGCACCTTGATATCTCAATGTTCCTTTTTGTGGGTGCGGTCCTGCAATTAAATAATGTTTTATTCCCTTTCTTTTTAACATTATTGCACCTTTGTTTTAATTTTACATTTATCGTGGTTTCCTGATGTTGACAGATATGCAGCAGTATTTGCAGCTTTTGTTGCTGGCATGGCTAGCTTAGTTGGTATTGACTTCAGTGCCAAGCTTCTAGCTTCTCTGGCAAGAAATTTTGAGGTGCATGACATGTTAACAAGTATTTTTTTTTAATTATAAATTGTTTGTTAAACAGCAAAAATTCCAGTGTGTGTGTATAACCTATAAGCACTTTTAAACTCTTATCTGTTCTTCTTTTGTGTTGTGTTCTTTGTATATAGGATGAGTACCTGAAAGAAGACACTATGTCATTGCGGAATCTGACTCTTCTATTTTCATATTTGTACACATTTGGCGTTTTCTCTAGGTGAGTGAAAATTTTGAATCCTCATTTCTTCCATTTACAGGTATAAATGGAGCCTAGAATCCTGCAAGTCACATATTTACTTTTACATTATTTTTGTTGCTTTCTAGTGGATTGGCTCACTCATGGTTCATTGTGCTTGTTATTAGTCTAATGTACAAACCAACAAAGATGGATGACAACCTTTCTTTAGTAGAATCCCATGTCCATGCAAATTAAACCAACATTTTAGCATGTTATGTATTGTTCAGAAATGTAATCGATGCTGGATTTTCATCGACTTATCTATGATTCAGTTTGGTTATAAATATTTTCTTATCCCTGGCTATTTGACCAATGTTTGAAGCTACTTATTATGCTTTGCAGTGACTTAATGTATGACTTCTTGGTAATTCTGAGTAAGAGACTGACAGAAGCTGATGTTTCTACAATTTTAGCAGTCTTACAATGTAAGTTATTATTATTATTATCATTATTTTTATTTTTATTATTACTCTGTTTTATTATTATTAGAGTAGTGTTACTCATAATAAATCACTTTTATCTTTTTTATTGTTGTATTCAATTTGTTGAAAACAGTTGTCTCTAGCAAAAATTTCCCACTAATGGGCTAGTTGGTATGGAAACAGTTCTCACTTTTTATCCTTTTTGGCGGGTGACTGAACAGCTTGTGGTATGAAGTTGAGAGGTGATGATCCTGTTGGAATGAAGAACTTTATAATTAGCATTCAGAACAGGGTTAATGAATTGAAAACCTTATCTAGAGATGCACAATCCAGTCTTGACAGCAAAAGGGTATACTTGCAATCTGCTCTTATTATACTACCATTATGGTGTCTTTCTTTGTAAGACATATTTTTTCTATGTATTTATCTGAGTATATATATTTAATTGTGTTGCTGCAGATGGAGTTCATGCTTGAGACAATATGTGATATAAAAAACAATAAGAAGAGGCCCAAGGAGGAAACCATGCAGCTTACCCGAATAAAAAAATGGCTACAGAAGGTGTGCATCTATTGTTATATCAGTTATTCAGAAAGTATGCTATAATGCTATATATGCTGCAGAAAAAGAGATCTGGTGCACTGGATTCAGTTAAGCACCAGCTGTGCAATGCATGAAATCTTTATGTTTACATAAATGATAACTGAGTATTTTGAAAGGTATTTAGTGCTGCCATCATTTTGATGTGGTTAATGTTTCTACCATCCTCTTTATCTTGGGTAGACATGTAAACACTCTTAGAGAAAGCTAGCTTCATTATTTGGTGGAACTTTGTTGCAACCAAAACTCATTTTCTCATTATGTTTCTTGCTTTACAGTGATATTAAGGTGATAATCATTTCTATGTTTTCTACCACTTGCTTAAGTATGCATTGGATTATCTTACATGTGTTACTGTTCTGAGCAAACCTTTTTATTTGGAGAAACACAAGTTATCAACTGAAGTTTGATGTAGTGACAGTTGTAATTCCTTTTGTCAAATCATCTTACCACAGAAGTCTATCTCTGTATCTGTAATGATTTCCACTTGTTAAATCCCTATCTTAATTTTTCTTTTGATTACAGCTCAGAGTGGATGATATTCTACTTCGAGGATTAAGGTGGAGCAAGCTTGTTGATCCAGATAAGAGAGGTCAGTGGTGGTTGTCTGGGGATTTCAATGTGAATTCCAATCAAAACAATATTAGGGAGGTTGCAAACACAATTGACATGGAGGTCGTTGAGACTCAAAAAATGCTCCAGCTTGCTGCCACACAGAGGATGAACACAGATGCGAGGAGAGCAATTTTCTGTGTAATAATGAGCGGTGAGGACTACATTGATGCATTTGAGAAGCTTCTAAGATTGGACTTGCCTGGGAAGCAGGTGGGTCAGGATTCCTCCACTTTACAGTTAAATAGCAACCAACTTGATTTAGCTTCTCAACATATTATTCCGTTGTGCAGGATAGGGAGATAATGCGAGTTCTGTTAGAATGCTGCTTACAGGAGAAAGTATTTAATAAGTATTATTGTGCACTAGCATCTAAGTTATGCGGCCACGATAAGAACCATAAGTTTACTCTGCAGGTATGGGAAGAACAAGAGTTAAGTATGTAATTGATGTTGAAGTTGTATTCATCCTCCTTTTGTTGTTATGCAGTATTGCCTTTGGGACCATTTCAAGGAAGTGGAATCGATGGAACTGATGAGATCAATGCACCTCTCAAAATTCATTGCAGAGATGCTCGCATCTTATACTCTTTCCCTTTCGGTCTTAAAGGTGGTTGATCTAGGTGATGTCACACAATTAACTCCAAAAAGGATTATGCATTTCCGTATGCTTTTCGAAGCTATCTTTGAGTTCCCAGATAAACTAGTATGGAACATTTTTACTCGAATTGCTTTGCCAGAGCATGAGTCCCTTTGTAACGGGATTGTCATCTTTATACGAGAATATGTTGCAAATGGTAACAAGTCTCTAGCAGGTAAATTCAAGATTGCCAAGAAGGCCATTAACAATGTTGAAGGAGTACTAATGTGAGCGCTGCTGATGAGATTATATTTATTTATATATGTAATAGCAAAATTTTGTTAAGTTTAGTTGAGGTACATTTTTGGTACACTATACTGCTTGCTTTAGAGCATCCACACTAGTTTTTTTGGATGACAAAGAAGAGAGAGATGATGATTTGGAGAGAGGAGAAATTTATTTTTAGAAAGAATTTATTTTTTAGAGAGATATGATGATTTGGAGCATCCACACTAGTTTTTTTTTCATTTTTTTTTTTTTGGAATTCAGGAGGAGAAATTTTAAAATCTGTGCATTTTTTGCGCGTTGAGCGCAGGAGAGGTGTGTACTGCACACGCCTAGCACGCAAATCACTAGTTTCATTTTTTTTTTACCTAATAATTTTTCTCTTGTTTTTTTACCTTAACATTTTCTCTTTTCCTCATCGCTTTCCTTTGGCAATTTATATCGTGCACTAGAGCGCGCATTGCATTGTGTGCCCTGATGCAAAATGACGTCGTTTTACATAACTGTATAAACAAATATACATAATTGTATAAATAAACACACATAACTGTATAAAAAATACACATAATTGTATATATAAACAAATACACATAATCACGTCAACTTCCTTCCGCGCCTCCCAAAACGACGTCGTTTTGGGAGGCACGGGGCGCACAGTGCTGCGCGCGTCGTGGTGAAGTGTATAACGATTGCCTTTTTGACTTCTAAAAAATTGTGCAAAAATCAAATTGATGTGGATACTCTTATAATTAATTATTATATAGGAATAAGAGTTAAATAGGCCACCCAACTGCACACCAAAGTGCAATTAGACCATCGAACTAAAAAAAAAAGGTATAATTAGGTCCCTGAACAATATAAAATTATGCAATTAGGTCCAAAATGACCCGCTTATCTAAAATTGTAGCTTACCATTTTTAAAAATAATTTTTAAAACTAATTTTAAATAAAATAATTAATTAAAAAAAAAAAAACCTGCCGGAGACAATTCGTCTCCATGGCCAGAGACGAAGACCTTCGTCTCCATGGCCAGGAGACGAAGGTTGGTCTCCCTGGCCATAGAGACGAAGGCCGGAGACGTCGGAGACGAAGGTTCCGGATGGTCTCCGGCCATGGAGACAAAGAGACCTTCGTCTCCATGGCCATAGAGACGAAGCCTGTCTCTGGCAGGTTCAGTTTAGTGTGTGTGTGTGTGTTTTTTTTTTTTTTTTTTTTTTTTTTTTTTAAATTTTAATTAATTATTTTATTTAAAATTAGTTTTAAAAATTATTTTTAAAATCGGTAATCTACAATTTCAGGTAAACAGGTCATTTTAGATCTAAGTGCATAATTTTGTATTTGTTCAGGAAACTAATTGCATCTCTTTTGAGCAGGGCCGTCCCTGGGCATGTTTGCCCAGGAACCTTGCACAGGGCCCCCAAAATTTGGGGGCCCAATTACAAAACATATATACATATACTATACAGCAGGCAGTGCTGCTTGCTGTATAGTATGTGTATATATATAATTTTTTTATTATTTCTTTTTACAATTGGCCCCCAAATTTGGGGGCAGAATTGTAAAAAAAAAAAACAAAAACTTATATACATATATTATATGAGTTATATATATAAATTTTTTTTTATTTGGGAGCACAATTGTAAAAAAAAAATTGTATACTTATATACATGATTGAAAAAATCACTAGGCATTCTTCAAGCACTCGGGGGAGCCTAGCGTCTAGGGAACATCGATGTTCATGTATTTTATATTTTATTTTTTTAAAATTTGTTTAAAATTTTTAAATTTCTTAAATTTTTTAAAACTAGATAATTATAAACTATTTAATACTTTAATAGTTAATACTAAAATATTAAATATTAATTTTAAAAAGATGAGTTTGAACAATTTACGATTATTTCGCTCAAAACGATGTCGTTTTGAGTGAAATAACTTATTTAAAAGGAATGAAATAATAGCTAATTGGTCGATTAGGCGGTTTTGTCGGCGCCTAGGAGGCTGAGGTGGCACTTAGGCGGCCTAGTCAGCCGCCTAGCCTGCCAGCCGCCTAGACCACCGATTATGGTGATATTGCAAATAGTTGTGGCAAAGTAAGAGATTCGATCCTTTAGAGTAGTGCAACGTATTTATACAATTGAACAACTATTTATTATTTATATATATGAAATAGTTGAAAAGGGGCTCAAATTACGATGTCGCACAGGACCCCCATTTTATTGGAACAGTCTTGCTTTTGAGTTCGGTGACCTAATTGCATTTTGGTGAGCAGTTGAGTAGCCTACTTGACCCTTATTCTTATTAATATTTTGACATTTATTAGGTGTTTCCACATGGGACTAGGGGATGCATTTAATAAAGACTTTTATAATTTTTAAAATAGTAAGTTTCAATATCTATATAAATCTAATAAGAGCCAATAATGTTATGCCCTTAACTGAAACAAAAAAAAATGTCGGTGTAATTGTTTCTTAAAATGAATGGTTCATATTATTTTGAATTTAGTATTATTTAATGATTTTCCTTATTTACACTCTATTATATTATTTTCTTCCCTTAAATAACCCTAAATTCCGTTAGTGTAAACTTTAGTAACGGAATATTCCGTTAACTATTTATTATTCTTAACTTACACAATAATTTCTATAAAAAAATGTCTCAGATTCGAACCACATCCCAATTAGAGTTGACATAATTGTTAAACATATACTATGAATATATTAAAACGTATTAATATATATATATATATATATATATATATATATATATATATATATATATATATATATATATATATATATATATATATAATATAAAATTTAACATAAACTTTGGTCAAATAATTATCCCGACTAAATACATAGCATTCAAAGTTGAGCATCAAAGATTATAAATCAGGAACTTTAAAAATCATTTGATTTTTTTGCATTAAAAAAAAAACAAATTTAGGTTAATTTTTTTTCTTTTTTCGTTTAATTAATCTTCTTTTGATTATTTAGAACAAAACGTAATATTTCAATTATGCTTTTGCATTATTGGAATGATTTATGTCATTATGGTATTAATATTTTTTGTATGTATTTTTATAATAGTACAATTGTACATTACCTTACAAATATTATACTATTATTTTTTTTATCGGACAAAATTATTCTTACATCATTGTCAGACCTGCGCGACCTAACTACAAATTTGTTGATCATAAATACAATTACACATGAACTCTAAAATGGTACGACCATTTTTCAAACAATTGACAATGTTGACATCCCAGGCCCCAATTGAATAAGTTTACACATCAGAATATTATGAATGCATGAAAACTTCTAAAAAAATTTGTTAGTTAATTTAATTTTTACTATATCATTATAACTATATCTATTGTGACCATATATTTTGAATTATTTATTAGCAATTGTAGCAATTGTCATTGACAAACTCTCAAAACAATTTGTCTCAATAACAAATGGAAATTTAAAAAATCAATGATTTCGTTATTGTTGATGAAAAGTATGTACGCCACTTTATTACTCTTATTAAATTACTAGTTTTTTTACGCGCTTTACGCGAATGGAATAATGCCCAATAATTATTTTTAAATAAGTATTTTAAAGTATATCAATGCAATATTATATATGAGACGTTCATGTATAGGTAAATAAATGTCGAATTTGTTTATTTAAATTGGTAATTTAAAGTATATAAATGCAAGATAATATATGAGAGATTGATTATAATTGTCACTAAAATAAATGTTTGCAACTTTGAAATAACGATAGTCTAAATAATTAGTCTAAAAGCGATATTCTAAATAAATATTACTTTTGATTTAAATTTCTCTCATTATTCTTAATTCTCTTTTGGGTATCATTATCATTATCTTCATCTTTAGTATATGTCCTCTTTTTTTGTTTTGTTTTTTTGTTTTTTGTTTTTTGTTTTTTTTGTTTTTTTGTTTTTTTTTTTATCGGTAGTGTGTCACGTGCAATTGGGTTACTAGTGGTACCATAGAGGGATACATCGTGCAATGAGATTATAGTGTAGGAAGCTTTAGATTTTCCTTGCTGTGTATATGACTGCGATTTTAGTTGTACTATGAACTCTTTATCTTACAAGCACCTATTGATATTTGGTAGTGATAGTTTTTCCCCTATATGTTTCATGTGTTGTAAGATGTGTATCGTAGGTTATCATGTGAAAGTATTGAACAAAATATTAATATTTATTATATTTGTATAAAATACTTGGTAAATAAATAAATATAACATATTTTGTATTATAACTTTGATAGCTTTAAAAAAAAAGTATTATAACTTGGATATTTAATTACAAGACAATGTAAAAAGAAGACAATGAACAATTAATTCTAAATTAATTAAATGCATATGTATTATTTTTTGTTGTAGCTACAAATTTATTTAATTAAATAATGGCCCGTTTGGTTCACGGAATAGGCCGGGAATGGCATAACATTCCCAGTAATAGGCCTATTCCTTTGTTTGGTAACCATTTCTATTACCAGGAATAATATTCCTGGTAATAGCCTATTAACTCAAATAAGGTAATAACTATTACTAAGGGCCCCCTGGTATTAGCCTATTAGTGAACGCTCAGGAATAGATTTTAGAATCTATTTTCTTTTTTACCCCTTTCTTTAACCTAATTTTTTTTATCCTATATATAAATTTATCCTATTTCACCACCGTCGTCGCCACCGCCCCCACCACTGCCATCGCCACCGCCCCCACCACTGCCACCGCCACCACCACCACTACCACCCCAGCACCACCACCGCCACCACCACCATCACCACCACCGCCACCACCATCGCCGCCGACGCCGCCATTACCACCACCGCCACCAGAACCACCATGGCCACCAGAACCACCACCCAGCAGCACCACCGCCACCACCACCACAACCACCGCGACAACCGTCGCCGCCCCCACCACCACTGCCACAACCGTCACCGTCACCACCACCACCGTTGCCCCCACCACTGCCACCGCCACCACCACCACTACCACCCCACCACCACCACCACCACCACCGCCACCACCACCACCACCATCGCCACCATCACATATTTTTATAAGGATATTTATGTCTTTTAAAACATATTTCATTTCTATTCCTTAAATCAGCCAAACAGTGTAATATAATTCCTAAAGTCTATTCCTTCCGCGAACCAAACAATAAAATACAATTCCTATTCTATTCCTTGCCTATTCCATTCCTTATGGAATGTGATTCCTATTACCTCAAAATTTATTCCGTGAACCAAACGTGCTGTAAGAGTAATAAAGTGGCACACATACTTTTCATAAACAATAATGAAATCATTGATTTTTTTTTTATTTTTATTTTTTTATTTTTTTATTTTTTATAATTTCCATTCAGAGACAAATTGTTTTGAGAGTTTGTCAATGACAATTGCTACAATTATTGTCAAATGATAATAAATAATTCAAAATATATGGTCACAATAGATATTGTAATAATGATATAGTAAAAATTAAATTAACTTACAAATTTCTTTAGAAGTTTTCATGCATTGATAATATTCTGATGTGTAAACTTATAACAATAGACAAATAATGTACAATTGCACCATTATTTAAATACATACAAAAAATATTAATACCATAATGACCTAAAAATCATTCTAATAATGCAAAAGCATAATTGAAATATTAAGTTTTGTTTTAAATAATAAAAAGAAGATTAATTAAACGGAAAAGAAAAGTTAACTTAAATTTGTTTTTTTTTTTAAATTCAAAAAAATAAAAATATTTTTAAAGTTTCTGATTTATAATATTTGATGCTTAACTTTGAATGCTATGTATTTAGTTGGGCTAATTATTTGACCAAAGTTTATGTTAAATTATATATATATATATATATATATATATATATATATATATATATATATATATATATATATATATATATATATATATATATATATATATATATATTAATTCGTTTTAACATATTTGTAGTATATGTTTAACAATTATTCCAACTCTAATTGGGATGGAGTTCGAACCTAAGACTTTTTTTTTTATTTTTTTTTATAGAAATTAATGAGTAAGTTAAGAATAATAAATAGTTAACAGAATATTCCGTTACTAAAATTTATACTAACAGAATTTATGGTTATTTAAGGGAAGAAAATATTATAATAGATGATAAATAAGGAAAATCATTAAATAATACTAAAATCAAAATAATATGAATCATTCATTTTAAGAAACAATTATACCGACATTTTTTTTTGTTCCAGTTAAAAGCCTAACATTATTGGCTCTTATTAGATTTGTAGAAATAAATTAGTAGCTACAACAAAAATTAATATATATGCATTTAATTAATTTAAAATTAGATGTCTATATGCTTTTATTTTAAAAAAATATTCATTATAAAAAAATTAAAAAGAGATATTTTTTTGAATGCTACTAGCTCTATTACAATGTAGTATCTGTTCATATACTTTCTCAACCTACTGAAACACAAAGAGCCAATAATGCCTCCACTGAGGCTCGAAATTACAATCTTCCAAATGGAAGTCCAACCCGGATACCATTAGACCACATAGTCCTGGTAAATTAAAAAGAGATATAATTTCATTAATTATATTATCTTTATTTTCTACAATTCAAAGATTCTTTACATTCATATCTATTATATTCTATACATTGTCCATTGTCTTCTTTTTTTTTTTTTTTTTTTTAAAATAAAATAAAATAAAATAATCTTGTAATTAAATATCAAAGTTATCATACAAAATATGTTATATATATATATATATATATATATATATATATATATATATATATATATATATATATATATATATATATATATATATATATATTTATCAAGTATTTTATACAAATATAATAAATATTAATATTTTGTTCAATACTTTCACATGATCCTACGATACACATTGATAGTGTAAATACGATGTTTTGTCCTACACTACGGGCTCGTATACTATTAGAGCTCGGGACCAGACGACAGTCGGTCGGGAAGTTCCCTTCTAGCCTTGAAATCTCCAAAAGTCCCCTTCCCAGCAATAAATGCGGGTATTTATAGGGGGTAGGGGGACACTTTCTGGGCCCCTGGCATGCTGGACACGTGGTCTATATGCACTGTCGGCACTCTATCCGAGGAATCATCTACACGTGCCACGAATGTCCCAATGTTATCCGTTGCTAAACTCGGGATATGCGGTCGGGAATGTAGACACGAAAAATTTGAATCCAACAAATGGACTGATAAATGGTTATTGGACCGACGTCGAGATTAATTATTGGGCCAATTTAATTAATTGGATCATAGAAATTAATTTAATTTGATTAGTCCAATTAAACTTGGTTTGGGCTATTGAATTAATTAATTAATTGGCCCAAGCCCATTTCATATTTGAATTTGAATTATAATTGTAATTTTAATATAATATAATTTTATTATATTTGAATTAGATAATTATAATTTAATTTGAATTTGAATTAAATTATACAATAATGAACCTGGACTTGATTCTGGGAAAGGTTCATTTTCTAGAATAATTAATTAATTAATTAATTAATTAATTAAGGGGGAGTTTGTTGAGGAATGTTGGTTAGGCTCTTACTATAAATAGATCCTTCACTTTCATTCCAAAACACAACTTGAAGGCTTGAGAGCTTGAAGGCATTGAACAACTTAAAAGACTTGAGGAGTTGAGAGCATTTGAAGAGCTTGAAGGCATTGAAGAACGCTTGAAGGCATCTTTTGAATATTTTGCAGGCAATTTGAATCCATTGCAGGTACTTTGGAGCTTTGCAGAATTGACTGTCTCGAAGATCTTGAAGTCTTTTGAAGGCATTTGAGGATCTTAAAGCGACTTGAATCCATTGCATGTGTTTTGAAACTTTGCAGGGTTGATTATTTCTAAATTCTTGACGTTTGTTGTTGAAAGTCACGCCAATTGAATCCCGGAAGCTACGCCACTTGAATCCCGGCAGCACGCGCCAATTGAATCCCGGAGGCTACGCTATCTGAATCCCGGAGGCACTTAAATAGATAACGTCATTGAAGAATCAGAGGACTAGATAGAGATTTTGTACCTGCATATTGAATTATACATACAATGTACAAGGAATTTTGTGGAATATATACAAACTTTACTTTTTTTATGTTTACAGATTTTGGCACGCCTAGTGGGACAACTCTGCTTCTCATCTCTTCACTGTTGATTCGCGGGCTCTATACAAGAGGAATCCAAATGGCTCAAGAAATCCCTCCTCCAAGATGACCTACGCTCAAGCTAACCGCTCCAAGGCATCATCTGTGGCCGGTTCCGGTGACAGCCAAAATGTGGATGGAGCAATGACTCGGAGCCGAGTGAGGAACCTGGGAGTGCAGCTGCACGGGGCCCAGGACATCGCTCGCCACATCATTCGAAGGATTGACAGAAGCTTCACCATGTCACGAAGAGCTATACGTAACAAGGGGTCATCCGCTACAATGGAGGTTGTTGGCAACAAGAATCCTACAAGCGAAGGAGCTCCCAGCACAAGAGTCCTGCGAGCCCTACTCTCTCGAATAAAACCCCAAGCAGTGGAAGCTCATCACAGTCATCACTTCTGCGGAGAACCTCACCAGAATGGAATCACATATACACAATCATGCCCGCTACGACAACGAACGCGGCTTCGGTGGAGAAACAACTAGCCAACACCGCCAAATCTCTCGAGGGAATAACTATGCTCATGCATGACCAAGAAAGGACGATCAATGAGCTCAGTGAAAAAGTTGAAAGCGGAAGAAACGGCGAAACAAGTCGAGCTTTCGGGAAGCATCCTCAAACCCAAGAAGATGAGACTGATGTCGAGTCACCGCGTCATCAAAGTAGGCCAAGAATGGAAGAGACAATCTCTCGTCCAACACCCGCTGAGAAAAGTATCCCAATTTCTGAAGGCATGATACCTGTAGACTAGTTGAATGACTACATCATGGGAGTGATCAAAGGGAAGCTTGAGGGAGGACAATCTTCATACACTTACACTAAGCCCTATACTCAGAGGATTGAAGAAATGAAGATGCCGCCGGGCTATCAACCTCCCAAGTTCCAGCAGTTTGATGGAAAAGGCAACCCAAGGCAGCACATCGCCCACTTCACTGAAACCTGTAATGATGCAGGAACATATGGAGATCTCCTCGTCAAGTAGTTCGTCCGCTCTCTGAAGGGCACTGCCTTTGATTGGTACACCGACCTGGAGCATGGTTGCATTGATAGCTGGAATGATATGGAGCGCGAGTTCTTGACCCGCTTCTACAGCACAAGAAGGACTGTCAGCTTCTTGGAGCTCACCACTACCCACCAATGGAAGGGTGAACTTGCAGGCGCTTTCATCGATAGATGGAGGGAGTTGTGTCTCAACTGTAAAGAGAGGATATCCCAAAGCTCCGCAATTGAAATGTGTATCCAAGGCATGCACTTTGAGCTCTCTTACATCTTGCAGGGAATCAAGCCTAAAACGTTTGAAGAACTATCTAGTCGTGCTCATGACATGGAATTGAGTATTGAAGCTAATGGGGGACTAAGCATGTCAAGTATGCCTAGTTCATCAAAGGCACCTGCAAACCAAGATGTCAACAAATGGAGTAAGTTCTTTCCAAACCAAGAGAAGAAAGAGACGATGAACGTGATGACAGGACCAATGCGGGTTTTCACCAAAGTGGATGAGAAGCCCAAGCAAAGATCATTCCCTGGCCCATCAATGGGAGCTAAAAAAACAATTGTTGAAGAGTGGCAGGAGAAACAATATCCATTCTTGGATTCTGATGTTTCTCCTATGTTTGACGAGTTGCTGAAACTCAAATTAATTGAGTTGCCTAAGATGAAGCGCCCCGAAGAAGCTTTTAGGGTGGATGACCTCAACTATTGCAAGTATCATCGTCTCCTCGGACACCCGATTGAAAAATGCTTCGTCTTTAAGGATAAAGTGATGGGGCTTGCTCGTGATGGAAAGATAGAGCTTGTGGATGCTAGCGCAAACACAAATCAATTTTCATGTGGGACGTTTGCTCCATTACTTATAGAAGATGAGGAGAATAATGGGGGCAAGCAACATAAATGCACACTTCCATTTAGAGTAAAGCATGCTGGCGTCCAGTATTTAAAACCATCACAAGTTGATCCTGCTAGTCATATTAGACCATTAAAGAAAATGACAAGGCAATGGGTTGAGAAGAAGTCGGCAAGGGACCCCGTCCATGACTCGAAGAAGAAAGGACTTCCCACATACATTCTTGGAACTTGCTTGAATACCAATGAAGAACATGTTGAAGTGGGAGAATCTTCATTCCCCTTGATTGAAGGAAGCAACGAGGTCTGCACTCGCAAAGTCGCGTCTTACACTACAGAGATAATTTTCAAAGATGAAGATCTATTGCTTGGCGGTATACCACATAATCGTCCGTTGTTTGTAGAAGGCTATACCTGCGAGCAAAGAATCAAAATGATTTTGATTGATCAAGGATCGGCTGTGAACATTCTGTCACTCCGATCTATGAAAGAACTTGACATCTCTACCGACGAGCTCTCTCAAAGCCGCCTGATGATTCAAGGTTTTAATCAAGGTGGGCAAAGGGCACTAGGTACCATCAGACTCAATCTCAGGGTTGGAACGTTGAACTCAAATACACTATGTTATGTGATAGATGCAAGGACGTCTTACAATTTGTTGCTAGGTCGACCTTGGATTCATGAGAACAGAGTAGTCCCCTCATCATGGCACCAGTGCCTCATGTTTGAAAAAGGCAGTGTGATAGAAAAGGTGGTCGCTGATGAAAGTCCATTCACCGAAGCAGAGTCGTACTTTGTAGATGCAAAATTTTACTTGAAGAAACAAGTTATTGTTGAAGAGATTGACAAAATCAATGTTGACACACCTCCCGATCCAAAGTGGAAAGGCAAACAAGTCGTAGACCAAGCTCATTGCAATAAGGAACTTGTTTTCTCGCTTACAAGAATTGAACCATTGAAAGCTCCCCCAGCCAAACCGCTTGGAGAAGAAACCAAAGATAACGACGCTCGAGATGGAATAAATGAATTGTTGCCCGCTAAGCGCACTAATGGCTTCGACCCCAATGCTTATAAACTTCTAGCTAAAGTTGGCTACAACCCCAAGGAGCCGCAGAAGTTGGGGAAGCTCATCCCAGAAGCCAGCGGTAAAGGCAAGTCAAATCAGCCGGGACCGCATGAACGTAAAAGATTGGGCTATGTGCTCCCTAAACCAGTGCGAATCTTCATAAACAGAGCCGCAAGTAATTGCATCACGTCTATCGATGAGGAGGAACACCACAAGAGGCAACCAGTCTTTGATAGGATCAGCGAGGTAGAACCACAACGGTCAGCCTTTTATAGGCTTGGGTCAAATCCCAAACCTGCTAAGAGGAAGTCCATACATGACAGACTCGGAGCTGCTCAAGTTTTAAAAGAACACACCAATACTTCTATTGAAATAGAGTCTTAAAAAAGTCTTAGAAGTATAGTTCCCTCTCGCATGAGATGAGAAGTTGATTTCCATGTTTCATGTAGCGAAGTCTTGAAGGTCCAGCCAAAGACCATTATATACACCCGTGAAAGAAAGGAAGAAGACCTTGATTCAGGTTATGAAGCGACACCAACCCAAGATGAGGAGGCGTCTTCATTCCACATTAATTGACATAATAAGATCCCGATTGAGGGGGGCATGTACAACTTGGTTGATGGAAATGATGCACAAGTTTGCCCTATTAAGTAAACGAGACTACTTGATGATCCACCAAAAATGAGCACGTGGTTAAACTGCTAATGCATCTCGCTTGTCTATGGGTGGGCCTAAGTCATAGACGCTCCTGGCTCGCATGAGCCTAAACTGTGAACGGCTCTACTTAAAAAAAAAAAATCATTTGAACTACGTTTGACCTGATCTCCTTCGTGGGAGTACGTAAGCAGCTTAGAAACACCTTCTTTTTCTAAGTTCAGTCATAACAAAAAAAGTTTCGTTCACGTTGCGTATAATGGTGATGTTGTGATTAAGTTAAGGTCACGTCAATTATTGACATGGAAAAGATGGGGAAAAAGTGTAGAAATTATTACAAGACAACTATCAAGGCATGCACTCCCGTAGCAGTTTCGCTTAGCATTCTGATTTTATCTTGGTCTACAGTGGTCCGATTAATGCAATTTAAGTGTCTTTGGAAAGATAATTTACAAAGTTAAAACTCTCTTGAAGACATCAAAGTTTGAGTTTGAGATTTAATGGGTCAAACATTGAGGCGAAATGAGGCCACGAATCTGTCCATAGTTGCTCATGTTCAAATTTTATTTGAATATTTCAAGGATACAATTCATTTGTAGTTGACATTGTTTGTTTTCAAGTTCAGTGGTAATGAAAGGAGGTTTTATTATATTAAATTACAAGACTAAGTTACTTTGATAGTTCAGCTTCAAGTGTGGTTTTTGGTCATGAATTTCAAGCACTGCAATGGATGTTGTACTAGAGGTGTCGAATTAATTGGTATGTCCTTGTTGCTGGACATCACCATGGTCGTTTATCTTGAAAGTGCACCATTTTGAACTATGTCCAATTGAAGAAGTCGCTGGAAAAAATAATAATGATATATTATGTACGTACGTATATATATATGCCATATGTATATACACATTCACATCACTACATGTTGATTATATATATCATGTACATATATACACAATGTTAGTTTGTTATTATTATTATTATTATTATTATTATTATTATTATTATTATTATTATTATTATTATTATTATTATTAGAATATTGAAAAAACAAAAGGTGTGAAAAGAAGAAGTAAAGAAACAAGTGAAAAAAAAAAACGAAACAAGAAGAAGTAAAGAAACAAGAAAAAAAAAAATGAAAAGGAAAACAACAAAAAGAGGAAGAAAGTAAAAGGGAGAAATGTTGGGTCCTGGCTGCATGTGCTGTCACCATCAATCAACCACATATCCCATCTCCAACTTGCCTAAGTAAAAGTTGATAGTGGAATATGCATTCTATGTATATAGGAGAATGGTCAGAGTGCTTTCAGACCTCCAGCTAATATGGTTTAAGGGAGCGCTTTAAAAGAAAGAGAGCAGAGGACAAAGTGCCACGTATGTAGTTTGGTCACTAGTTTTTTTTCCTTCTTCGTCTCTCCAAAGAATAAAAGCAGTGGTTCTTCTTTCATCATACTGAGAGTAACGACTGCTTCCAGTAGCAGCTGTGAGAAACAGAGACAAGCGACATCTACCCACGAAAGAGAATAGAGTTATGCGAGAAACTTCAGCAGTCCGGCGACCTTCGGCAACTCCGGCAGCGGCGACGATCGGCATCCGGCAGTAGCAGAGATCAACATCCATGGTTCCTGGTCTCGCAGCATTAGTTTCCAGTGACATGAAAAAAAAAAACAACAAGAAAACAAGGCTCCAGTGACAAGCTCCAAACTATCTCCAGTAGCGAACTCCGGTAAGCGGCAACGACGGTGGTGCGACGATCCACTCCTGGCAGCGCCGATCTCCAGCTACACCCACCAGCCGGCTCCGGTTAACTTCCAGTAGACGTAGCAGCTCCGGTAGTCTCTGGTGAGTGGTGACTTTTGCGAAGAACCTCCAGCAGCAGCATTGGCAACGGGCTTCGACGGTTTGCGACACGGTAGAAATCTCCAACAACTGCGATTTACGACCGGTGACTTCTGTGAAGAACTCAGGCGGGCAGCAGTCCTGTAACCTCCTAAAAAAAAACAAAAAAACCTCCGGTGACTTCAACGAAGAACGGTCCGCGGCGAACGACATCAACAGTTAAGCAATAATCCTCTCCAGCACCGCGACTCCACTCCGGCGTCCTTCAGTGAACAGCTGCCAGGTTACTTTTCCGGCATCGTTCATGTTGCTCCGTTCCTTCTCACTTTTGTATTGCAGCCGTATGTATTCCCATTCCTGCAAATAAAAAATATATATGGGAAAAGAAGGATACGAAGTTGAGGAATTACCTGATTGAGAAGTAGAGTTGTTCTTTGGTCTCTGTGTCGTTGATTGTTGTGGAATGTGGGGATGATTGAGATCATATATATAGTGTACGAGGAGGTGTTAGAGTTGAACTATGATTCTACACTCCTGATTTTGTTATGGTTGAACGATGAGGATTGGATTTGAAGCTGCCAGGAATTGCGCATAGTCATTTGTTTGTTTCTGGAGTTAATGCCTAATCTTATCACAATTTGACTGGGGCATAATGCAATGAAATTTTGAATAATGGGCTTATCAAGCAAATTGGCCTGAACATGAATCATGGATGCATTCTACGGAAATGTGCTAATTAAAGTTTGATATATTATTCTGACCTATTGGTTGGGGGCGTATTGAAATTTTAAATGTTCGAGACTTTCTCGTTCCAACCATTATAAGTAGCATGTTCCGACACGTCACGAGGGGGTAATTTGTAGACACGAAAAATTTGAATCTAACAAATGGACTGATAAATGGTTATTGGACCGACGTCGAGATTAATTATTGAGCCAATTTAATTAATTGGATCATAGAAATTAATTTAATTTGATTAGTCCAATTAAACTTGGTTTGGGCTATTGAATTAATTAATTAATTGGCCCAAGCCCATTTCATATTTGAATTTGAATTATAATTATAATTTAAATATAATATAATTTTATTATATTTGAATTAGATAATTATAATTTAATTTGAATTTGAATTAAATTATACAATAATGAACCTGGACTTGATTCTGGGTAAGGTTCATTTTCTAGAATAATTAATTAATTAATTAATTAATTAAAGGGGGAGTTTGTTGAGGAATGTTGGTTAGGCTCTTACTATAAATAGAGCCTTCACTTTCATTCCAAAACACAACTTGAAGGCTTGAGAGCTTGAAGACATTGAACAACTTAAAAGACTTGAGGAGTTGAGAGCATTTGAAGAGCTTGAAGGCATTGAAGAACGCTTGAAGGCATCTTTTGAATATTTTGCAGGCAATTTGAATCCATTGCAGGTACTTTGGAGCTTTGCAGAATTGATTGTCTCGAAGATCTTGAAGTCTTTTGAAGGCATTTGAGGATCTTAAGGCGACTTGAATCCATTGCATGTGTTTTGAAAGTTTGCAGGGTTGATTATTTCTAAATTCTTGACGTTCGTTGTTGAAAGTCACGCCAATTGAATCCTGGAAGCTACGCCACTTGAATCCCGGAGGCACGCGCCAATTGAATCCCGGAGGCTACGCTATTTGAATCCCGGAGGCACTTAAATAGATAACGTCAGTGAAGAATCAGAGGACTAGACAGAGATTTTGTACCTGCATATTGAATTATACATACACTGTACAAGGAATTTTGTGGAATATATACAAAGTTTATTTTTTTTTGTGTTTACAGGGAAGATACTCATAGGTTTCAGCGCTCAGACACGGTCGATTTTGGATGCGGACATAGATTGGCAACCGAACATACCGTCATGATGTACACCCGACCCGAGTATGGCGGGGTATGTGACTACCAAGATCCCCCAGCCCGTGTTCCTGACGAGAATTTCACGAGGAAGGGCTCGGGCTTAAGTGGTTCTTTGAAAAAAATCGGGCTTAACTACCGTTTCATTGACATCGGCCCCGCTTCCGTGCAATGCGGGTGCACTATAAGATCTACCGCGGGCCATTCGAAAGCGTGGAGGCGCATTTATCAACTTCTTGATTATCTTGGGGATCCGCACCAGACTTCTAAAAGACACTTAGTCTTCCCGCCATTTCTGTGTCCTATATAAGGCCTCTCATGGAAGCTCATTTGTGCATCTTCTCTTGCTCTTGCGATTGGATACTCCCGAGCTACTACTCTAGTTGCTTTCTAGCCCATCTAAAGATTTTCCGCCCGGGGACTCATACAACCGGTAAGCTCCCCCTATCGCTACTTCACTTTTCTTTCTTTACGCGTTCATCTTAATGTGCCATGCGGCACCCTCGCCCGGGGAAACCTACCCGGGTCCGCACTAAATACCCCTCATCATCTTTGAAGGATATATGACTAGCTCCGACAGTGAAAACCCCTCGTTCGCTGATTACGATAACGAGGTAGAGGAGCTGACCGACCACACGGATACTGATGAGATCGAGGTCGAGGACAGATCGGGTAAAGACGAGACTTCTCGTAGCGGCGAGGAGACCGCTTGGGAAGAGAAAACGATCGGGTCTGCAGAGGAGCGACCGGGGGAAACAAGGACCAGGACAGCCGATCACGACTAGGAATCGGAGATTAAACACGGGTGCGGGAAATCCCCCCGAACACTTATTGCTGCCTTGAAACCCGACCTTTCTCCTCAATCTTTAGCGCGCTTAACCGAGCCTGTAATCGGCGAAGCTGCAAGGCCAATACCCGAAGGTCCCAAGATGATCTTTATGAACAGCGAAGTAGTGAAACAACACGACTGCCTTCTCAAACGGAAGGAGATGGCTGAAATCGCAACTCTGCTATCCGGGCAGGTTAGGTTTGATACAAACCGGTCGTTCGGGAACGTAGTAGATCAAACAAGCGGCGATTGGATCGGGATGCACCTCGACTCTCTAAAAGTGCCAATATCTTTCCCTTTCATGCCGTTTTTGCTGTCCTTTTTGAGTTATTACAAAGTCCTACCTGGCTAAATATGCCCGAACGCTCACCGGATAATAGCGTGTTTTCCGCAAATTTGCCCTCAGCTTGAAGCACCATGTAATATAGAGCTGTTCAACTTCATCTACCAGGTTAAGAAACTCCCTGCTAATCATGGAGGGGACTTCTTAATGGTTCAATCCCGAGAGAATCTCTGCTCCATCGCTCACCTTCCAGCCAATAACAAAGGGTGGAAAGATCGAATTTTCTCAGTTGAGTACACATGGCCTCTTCCCGTCGAGCGGACCTGGGCGACGCATTTCACAGAAAACGTCCAGCGTGACCCGACGGACGAACTACAAGAAGCTACTACAAGAATTTCTGTAGAATTCCACAATTACAAGTTCTTCCGGTCGGTAGAAGCTTACACCAACGCTCATCTCCCACCTCCAAGATATGACCTTGATAGGAAATACACTCCTCGGCCGGTAGAGATTACGATCGCTACCCTTCGTCCTAGGCCGGGACCTTCCAACAAAGGTCACTTGACCGAGACAATTTATCTGACTCCTGAGACTTTAGCTCTGGTCTCTTTTACCCTACTAATCGTTTAATGCTTCCATTATGCATATATGAAATCAAGCCGAGGATTTCCAAGTGGTAGCGCTGGTACCCGTGCACCCCGATACAAGGTGGCGCTAGGGGGGAAGAAAGTAGTGGGACCAAGCGACTCGAGTGCTGCCAGTCTAGAAGAGACTGTCCCGACCGCAGTCCCCATGGTCACAACCACGGCAACGGATGCACTTGCCATCACAAGTGAGCATGACCCCGAGGTGCAGGTCGTCTGAGCAGCCGGTAAGAGGGGAATGGAGAAGGTGGGCGAATCCGAGGTGGAAGAGATAGCCCCCTAGAAAAAACTCGCAAACCTCCTTCCCCGGGCGACACTGTCCGGGGTGGGGTGCACCATCCATCACTCTTGAACGAAATCAACGCTCTCTTTCCCTCCGATGAGGACATGCTGGACTGGACGCCCGAGCAAATTTCTGAGGCGGGCGCCCAGGAGCTAATTAATGTTCGTACACAACCAACCCTTGTCCGTTTTCATTTGTATCCGGGTAGCCTAAGGCGTTTTCTTGCAGATCACTCGGATCTTGACTGCTCTATACTATCGTTCCCAGGCTAACGCCGAGACTGATGCCTTGAAGAAGGAAAACAAAGAGCTCAAGCGTCGTCTTAAGGTAGCACAGGACGGAAAAATGACCGCGGAGGAGGCTCTGACCACTGCCGTGACCCTAGCCCAAAAGGCGATCAAAGAAGCGGATGCAGCTCGGAAAGAGACCGACGAGCTAAAGCAAAGGCTGGACAACTTGGAGAAGCTGGCCGAGTTTCTTTGCAACAACTGGGCCATGGCCGAGTGGTTCTTTCGAGCGTTCTTAACGCACAAAACCGGCGAAGAGTTGGCTTGGGTGTTTGGCGACTAGGCCTTTGCCTCGGGCTAACGCACTATGTTCCGAGACGTCCAGGCGTCTCTTTCCGAGGTCTTCGAAGGCGAAGACCTGAAGACCATTCTGGCTAATCTCCCGGACGAGGTGGCTGACTCGGGGCCCAACCCCTACGCTGATCAACCGACCTCCGACCCAGAGCCTATTCAGGTCGACCGGAATCAACTTAATCCGGACCCTTAAGCTCTGAAAACTCTATGATACGCTCTGTCTTTTCTCGCTTTTGTTTTGAGGGAGCTCGGTCTTTGTACCGAGCGACTGTTTAACATGTACCCTTTTGCTTGTTAACTTTGCCTGCTCGTTTTACTTCTATCTTTTCATTTTACTTCTAACTTTTAGGGCCCTTAGCGCCCTAACACGATGCGTATGATATATACAGCCTCCTAGCCCCCCACTCTCTTAGTTGCAAAGTGCCATCTAAGAGAGTTGTACCGATGGCTAGTTTAGTCGATCGGGATTGAGACTCTTACGGTGGCTTACTAAAATGTTGTGAGATCGGTAAGGGGCACACATAATTGGTGCCGAGCTACCATATTCATACTTTTGGCCACAAAGTCCCGGCCAATTTCTTCATCCTATGTCACTTAAGACAATGCGAGATCGGAAGACCGATCTTAGACCGAGTGGAGGATCCGACCCAAAGGTCTTCAGATTAGATGCTTGCCCCACAAGGTTCCCGACCGAAGTGATTGGGCTAAGCTGCATGGATGCGGTTAAAAGCTTGAGACCGAGTGGAGGATTCGACTTGAAGGTCTTCAGATGCCTGGCCCACAAGGTTCCCGACCGAAGTGATCGGGCTAAGCCGCACAAATGCGGTTAAATCTTGACAAATCTATACTTTGACTAGTTTCCTCCCCCTTTTCATTCGTACTCGGGACCCAACGATAAATTGGAGCCTTGTCCTCATCGGTATAGAACTAGAACTTAATGTTTCTCGACATTGGGGCCGTAGATCGGAGCCTTGTCCTCATCGGTATGGAACCGGAATAAAGTTTACGCGACATTGCGGTCATAGGTCGGAGCCTTGTCCTCATCGGTATGGAACCGGGACTTAAAGTTTATCGATATTGCGGTCGTAGGTCGGGATCATATCCAACCGGGTTCGAGTACAAATAGGGGTGAGTTAGGTCGATTAAAATTACCTCAAAATATGAACATATAACACACTAATTGCTTGGTGGCTGGGCGCTCATCAAATGTTAGTGAAACACTTACATTCGACATATAATAGATTACACATTTAGGGGTCGGGTACATACCATCTAACGACAACTCCCGACCTCCATCTAGATAAAGAAAAATAGACTACTCTTAGCCGTTAAGGTACGTCTAATGACGGAACAACACCAAATTTTCAGAATTCCATGTTCGTTCGATCGGTCGACCGGTCGTGGTTTCCAATCGGTATGTCCCCGGTCGGACAATTGCTGAAGCAACATATGAGCCTTCCCAACTCTGGGTGAATTTGCCACTCTCTTGTGGTTGACTAGCCTCACGTCGCCGCAACACGTAATCGCCTACTTGAAAATACCACGGTCTGACGTGTACATCTCGACTAGCTTTTATTCTCTTCTGATAATCCGCTGCCCGTAGGGCCGCTAGCTCTCTCTTTTCTTCTAGGCAATCCAGATCGCCAATAAGCTCTCATTCCCCTCAGGGTCATAATTTTTCTCCAGTGCGGTCGGGATCCAAGCTTCAATGGGTAGTCTAGCTTCTACACCATAGACTAAGGCAAACAAAGTCTCTCGGGTCGCTTCCCTCGGAGTCGTGCGATATGTCCATAAGATGAAGGGGAGCTCGTCAGCCCAACTGCGCCCAAACATGTATAGCTTCTTCTTTAAACCATCAAGTATAGTGCGGTTAGCGTTCTCAACTTGGCCATTTCCCTGAGGGTAGGCCACGGTCGAACGCAACGACTTTGTTCTTATCGTTGCGAGGAAGTTCTGAAAATATTGGCCTTCAAACTGTTTGCCATTATCCATGATCAATTGAACCGGCACTCCGAACTGAGAGACCACATTCCTCCAGAGGAAACGTGCACATTGCTGAGACGTTATGGTTGCTAGCGGCTCGGTTTCGCCCCATTTGGAGAAATAGTCGATGACGACGATAATGAATCGTAGTCAACCGGATAGCTGAGGGAAAGGGCCAATAATGTCTATGCCCCACCAAGCAAATGGAATGGCAGTACTAACCGGTTGGTAGAAAGTTGCCGGCCGTCCGGGCATCTTCGCAAATAACTGACACGCTTCGCATTCCTTAGCAAGCTTCTCACAGTCAAGTTGAATAGAAGGCCAATAGTAGCTGATCACCATTATCCTACAAACCAATGATCTACCCCATTGGTGAGATGAACAAAGACCTGAGTGCAGCTCCGTCATGACTATCTATGCTTCGAAATCCGTGAGGCAACGCATCAAAGGTCCACCATAAGACCGTCGGTACAGTAAACCATCAACGACCTGAAATCTTGGTGCCCGGAGTTTGACTTTGCAAGCTCTGTCAGCATCTTCTGGCAAACAGTCCTCCCGAAGGTAGGTCATGATATCCGATATCCAATCCTCTTGTACATCTTGAATCGGGGAAACTTCTAACCGATCAATGCTTGGGGCAGGGAACACCAAGACCCGAACGATTTTGGAGATGTGCTCAGGGGCTTCTTGCACGAGTTTCGAAAGGATGTCAGCATCAGCGTTGTCTAATCGAGGGACGTGCTTTACTGCATACGCCTTGAACCCGGTCAACTTTTCCAAAGCCAAATTTCTATACTGGTACAAACGCTCACCATTGATTTCATAATCTCCCAGTACTTTTCCTACAACCAATGAGGAGTCGGTCTGGACTCGAATGTAATCGGCACTGAGATCTTTGACGTGCTGCAAGCTTTCAATAAATGCTTCATACTCGGCTTCATTGTTGGTTGGCGAGAACTGGTATATGAGTGCATAGTAGACCTTAAAGCCTTCTGGGCTGGTGATTACAACTCTGCCACCCGAGCCGTGCTTACTACTGGATCTATCGGTGGCTACCCCCCACCAAGAGGCGTTCGGGTCAGTCACGACCGACGCCTGAGAGTCTCTGGCTGTGCATTCCACAACGAAATCTGCCAAGGCTTGACCTTTAATTGCCGGTCGAGGCTTATACTCGATCGCAAATTGTGTTAACATCATGGCCTACTTAATTAACCGTCCTGACGACGTAGTCATGCGAAGAATAGCGTTGATCGGCTAATCTGTAAGCACTCGGACGGTTCTCCCTTGAAAATACGGCGTCAACTTCTTGGCCGCTGTATAGAGGGCAAAAATGACCTTCTTTAAACGAGAATATCTGAGCTGGGCCCTTAGAGTGCATGACTAACGTAATACACCGGTCGTTGAATACCTTCGGCGTCCGTCCGGCACAGCACTGCACTAACGGCCAGATCGGTAACCGCCAGATACAACTCGAGATCTTCTCTAGGCTCAGGCTTAGAAAGAACAACGGGAGACATTAAGTACTCTTTGAGGTCGTTAAACGCTATCCGACATTCATCATCCCATGTAAAACCACTGACTTTCCTCAAGGTTTTGAAGAACGGTAACTGTGACAACCCAAAATTTAATTTTATAAATTCAGTTTTAAGAAATTCCAAAATAGTCATTTTTCACTCCATAAAAATTTTTGTGATAAAATCAGTGTTAGAATAAAATATTTTGAGCCACTTTTAAATAAGTACAACACCGGAACGTGATTTGGAACAAAAATCCTAAATTCTTGGGTACATTGCGTGCTAAGTTTTGAACTGAAAATTTCATTTGAGTGAGACCGAGAGAGATTAGAGAAACCTAAAGCAAGTGTCTATTTAGAAATCATTTTTGGGAAATTCATTTTCAACCCCAAAATACTTTTAAAATCCTGATTTTGGACCATGGTCCATGAAGCATGGTGAACCACTCTACTCCAAAATTCTTGCCTGATGCTTTTAGAACAAACAACAATTTACTCTTTTGTCATCCACCAATCATTGAGTATCTTCCTAGGGTTTTTTGCGACTATATAATGAACCATTTCCAGACTATTGCCTCTTGATTCCCAACCTTGTCTTCCCCAAAGAGCTCTGTAGAAATCCAAAGGAATGCACATTAAGTTTTCTTCATGTCTGAGCATTCCATTTCTCATAGTTTCCCTTCTCTACAATCCTTCTATCCTTCCATCTCTGAGAAGCTTAGTATTAAGTGGTTGTGTGGTTTTTTTTGAGTTTTTTAGGAGGTGAAGGAGGGTGTAGCTAGCTTGGGAAGAAGGTGGAATCCCAGCCAAGAGGAGGAATCTACAAAGGTATAACCCCATGGACTCCCAAATCTATTTTTGACTCTGTGAAGTCATTGTTTGTGTTTAGAAATGAGTAGAAATGTTAGAATAATGTGTGTTTGAGCTAGTAGAATGTGCTATTGCTGAGATTATATGTGTTGGTGATGTTTTAGGAGTGGTTATCTGCCTGAAAATGTCTTACAGGTGAAGAAGAAGCTCACTGGTGCACAACACAGTGTGCACCAGATGAGAGGCGGGACTAGCCAATGATCCTAGGAGGGAGCCGTTGGCTAGGACCGTGGAGGAGTGGCCCTAGGGCACGGCTCTAGGCAAGAGTCATGGCCCTAGGCCTCCGCTTGGCGGCTCCAGGCGGCGGGGCTCCTCAAGCCCTGCCACAAGCCTTGCCTAGCAGATTACAGTGCAGTGGTCAGGCCCTTGTGGCTCAGCTATGTATCGTTTCGAACCGGGACTCGCGGGCCCTTGAGGCTCGGACACTCGGGGTGGTCACGACGCACGTTTAGAAATTGATTTCATGGAATTTGGAGTAGAATTGAGCATTTTGTGATAGAAATTGTGAATAAGAATGCTACAGAAGTTGTTTGTGAATGATTACAGTGAAGGAAATTGCTAAGTGTTGGTTTTGGCTATTTATTTGAGAATCATGAAAATTATATGAATGTTAGATAATGAAATATGATCAATATTTGCTAAGTTTTGCTATAAAAGCATGCCTAGATGTCTAACTGACTTGTTGAGATTATTGCCAAGAATATTACAGTTTACAGAGCATGTTTACAGTAAATAAGAATATGTTGATCATTTTGAGTTCAAGAGCATGTTGATTACTTTCTAAGTGTTTGCCAAATGAAGATTTGCTAAATTATGATTTATGAGCATGTTTATAGAATTGTCGAGAATTCACAGTGAAAAGATAATTGAAGTTCATTCTACAGTGAAATGCATATTTGACCATATCATGTTTTAAAATGCATAAATGGCCAAAGTGAGCCTAAACATTATTTTCAAAGACTCACATCTATTTTAGAAAGTCATTTTTTTGTTGCATTGAGAAATTGTTGAGAAGTTATGTGCATAAGTTGCATAAGTAAAGAAATTGCATGAGATATATATGCTATGTATTGTGAGGCAAATATTATTTTGGAGGCCCGTTAGGACTATGTCCTTTCGGAATAAAAGAGCAAGTTCGGTTAAAAACCGGTAATATTGAAAGAAAGAAAGCAAAGCAATAAACGGACATTGCGATCCGATATGAAGTAACGAGGTAGATATTCCCGAGTTACTAGGTTGGAAACTGCCCGCTAGGCTCGGAATCCTGGTCAGGGGGTGTGCACGCTGATAGTTCGATACCTGATTCCACAGGGTTTGAGAAAAGAACCAAGAGAGTGGTTCTATTGGCGAGATGAGTATTAGGACGGCTAGACGCCGAGCCCAGATAGGTATATCCACCTTATGGTGAAGTCCTACCTCGCCTATGAATAAGAAAGCAATCGAGTCAAGAGACTCAAGAAAAAGAAAGCGAGTCATTGTGACTCTAAGAAACCTCCACAAGAAAAAGTATTCTTTTACAAAAGATTGTTTATGTATATCTATCTATACTTATACTAAAAACATCGTGTTCATTTTTATAGCATGGTCAAGTATGATTGCACGAGATTTCATAATGAGTATGATTGCACGAGATTGCATGAATCAAGTATGATTGGACAAGATTGCATAATGAGTATGATTGTACTAGATTGCATAATGAGTATGATTGCACTAGATTGCATGATGAGTATATGAATGATTGTATAATGAGTATGATTGCACTAGATTGCATGATGAGTATATGAATGATTGTATAAAGAGTATGATTTCACTAGATTGCATAATGAGTATGATTGGACCTGATTGCATGATGAGTATATGAATGATTGTATAATGAGTATGATTGTACTAGATTGCATAATGAGTATAATTGCACTAGATTGCATATCGAGTATATGATTGCATGAGATTGCATGATGAGTATATGATAGCATGAGATTGACTCAAGGTTATATGATAGCACAAGATTGCTTATTGAGTTATGTGTTAGCATGAGATTGCTACTGAGATATTAGATAGACTGGAGATTATCGATAAGTTAAGTATGTGATAATATGAGCTTGATGAAGCTAGATAATAGTGAAAGCATGCCTATTTGGTGATCAGGTTGCAAGCATTTAGAAACCCTGTTGAGCATGATAAACTGTTGTTGAGTGATTGAGAATGTTTGATCTTAGTATGTGAAACAAATGTTTTCCAAAAGTATATACAATAGTACTTTACAGGGTTGAGTGGAGTTTTACTTAGCTTCGTGCTAACGGTTTTTTTTTTTCTACTTGTTGTTTGTTAACCCCTTTCAGGTGGGCCCAGTTCGTGAGAGAGAGTACGGGTTAGACTAGATTAGCATTAGTAGTTTTTGTAGTCTAAACTCTTGATGATGATTTACTCTTTTGAGACTTGTAGTTGACTACCCTATGTTTTTTATGGTGCTGGACACCGGGGTTTATGTAAACACCCCATGTTACGGCTTTCAAATCCGAATTAATTATGAGATTAATTCCATTAACAAATAATTAAAAAGAATTTAGGTTGGTTAGAATTCCCTTGATTAATTAATGTGGTCCATAATGGACCATGGACCCTTATCTCTAATTAAGCCTTTAATCCGGTTAGGAATAAAGAAAGTAGACCTTTTACTATTCAGATTCTAATTAGGAATCCTAGACCTATATATCTGTTAGGAATAAAGAAAGAGGGCCCATTATTAATCAGAGTCTAATTAGGAATCCTAAACCTCTTACCTAGTAGATTCGTATTAGGGATCGTAACCTATATAAAGGGGGGATTAGAAGGCATTAGAACCCTATCACCCATATCTCCCTCTCCCCACACGAAATTCCCTCCAGGCCAAGGAATTCCCCATCACCAAGCTTAGGGAGGATCGATTGAGGAAAGACCTTAGGAAGTTGTAAGGAGTTTTAATTAAAACTACCAAGTAACCCATGTCTCGACAAAACCTACTTTCCTTGATATATCTTATCTATTGGCTCCTTTGATGCGTGATTCTGTGATTGAGTCTTGATTGAGCTTTACCTAGGGTTTACATTGTGTTTATTTGATAATCTTGATGTTGTGGATTGATTATATGTGTGATCTAGTATTTTAATCATGTCTAGAGCCCTAGGGTTTATATCGTGAATCTCGTTGTGTGATGTTCTTGGTATATTTGGGTGGGTTTATGCATGATCGGGTGTTGAGTCTAGCATAAGATTTGTCTTTAGGACTTTTGCATATAGATTTCTTGATGTTCCTGTGGTTCCGGGTGCTCCTGAACCATTATATGATTAATGTTGAGTCTTGGCATGTTTAGAAATCCTGTTAGAACGTATTTGGTGTGATTCTTGATTTAATCCCGTTAAATGAATACGTGGTGTTGTTGTTACGTGTTTGAATGTGTCTGGACATGGTTTCGGGTTCCACGAGAGATCCCGAGACCAAAAAGTTGCCTGAGTATCAGTGGGGGGTAGGTGGGGGCACGGGTACTCGCCACCTACCCGCTGCCCGAAGGCACTGTTCCAGTGGGCAGCCGGCGGTCGGTGGTCTGCCCGCCGGCCACCCGCTGGAATAGCAAGTGGCCGCCGGCGGGTGGTCCTCCACCCGCCACCTACCCGCTGGAAAGTGGTTATGGGTCTTGGTGTTTTTCCCCATTTGATGTTTCCCCGTGTCCCGTTGTACCCCGTTTGTCATGTACAAGTCTCGTTTGATGTTTTGAATACCGTTCTAGGAATTTATGTGTAGTACGTGTCATTATTGTTATGTCTTGATTGTTATTGATTGATTATGTGTTGATTGATTGAATGGTGATGGGTATCGTGGTCATTGCGCAATGGCCGGTGTGACTAATGATGACGATGATGAGATTGTGATTGGTGGAAATGAATTGTTGGCGGTTGGCACCACTTGTGCCCGGTCATTGTACCAAAGGTACAAGCCTAGCGGTTACTGTGCTAAAGGCACAAACCCACCTTCGACTAGCTTGTCGTTGAGCATGGGTCATGTTATAAGTGCTGCGGTGTCATGTCAGGGCTATATGCGCTGACCCCTTGATATTGGCACTAGAGGTGCGGATCATGCGAATGACACTGCCGCGCTATCTTGATATTTGGTGGTTGATAGGTGGTTTGTCGGTGGGGGGCATGTAGTTGCCTGGAGGAATAAGGGAGGCGATATAAGGGTGGATTGGAGGTTCAGGTTGGAACTGATATAAGGACGGAGGGGAGCTACAAGGTTGGAACTTGGTATAAGATTGTAAGATGAATTGTGTGCTTTGATGATTGCTTGCTAACTGATTGTCTTGAATGCCTTTGTTGTCTCTATTTTCTATTTATATGCTTATCTGTCTGTTATGTCTTGCAACGTGTTCTTAGGACGCATGCTAGCCTTTGTGATTATTCTATATTGTCGGGTCTATTGTTGTGTCTTGAGTCTTGATCTTGGATTTAAATTAGAGTCTCATAAGTATATATGTATTCCGGTTTCTTAATGATTTCTTATATCTACCTATATTGTACTTAACGCGTTGGAGTGGGTTACCAGCATTATTCGCTGACGGTTGTTACACCGAATGTTTTTCAGGAATAGTTGATTAGCTTCGGAGCGCGCTAGTTGGATTCGTGGACTTAGTTTAGATATTTCTAGCCTTGATGAGATGGCCTGCATGCCTTGACTTATACTTAGATACTAATCGTGGTTTATGCTTTGTTAGATAGTTTAGCCTGTGCATCTGAGTTTTCTAACTCAGATGTGGCATAGCACCCCAACTATTATGTTTAGTTTATGCTCTGTTTGGGAATTAATAATAGATTTGCCTTTATCCCATAAGCTTTAAAAGTTTTAAAAATTAGGGGTTTTACAGTTGGTATCAGAGGCTAAGTTCGACCCTAGGATAAAGCCCTTAAGACAAGACTTTAGGTCATTAAGCTTGAACTCTAGGCGTTTAAGTTCTTAGGATATAAGAATCTTAGGACACGCGGTGAGACTATGAGTTTATTTATCGCTTTCTGTTAAGTTCCCCATACTTGTTTCTTGTTTCCTACGCTTGCTCTAAAGTTATGATATCCTTGCATACTTTTACATGCTTTGTCACATATCATTCTTTGATTATTAATGATTTACCTTGACATGCTATTGATTCTGTTTCTTAATAAATGTTGGACTTGGTTATTTGCTTAAGCATGAAAGTTGTGTTATTTTCCTAATTAATTCATTAATATATCGGCTAGGGACTTGCATATTATTGCTTATTTGGATATTTTCCTAATTAATTCATTCATTCATCCAATATGCATTATTTGGATATTTGTTATTTGATGGAATATTTTGGGACTTGCAATTGGCGACTTTATTTGACCGATAATTGCTCACTTTTTTTTTTAATTGTGATTGTTCGATTATTTTGATGGTTAACCTACTTAGAGCTTGATAAGTACTTGCATGACTTTGCCTGAAAGTTGTGGGAACGTAGCTTTATTCTTTAGGAGGGGAGGAATGTGATGTGTGATCCTTATGATGTCTTGAACTTTCGTTTAAATCTCCCGTGTTCCTTGTTGATATCATAATAATGTTATTCCTTGATGTTTACCATGTATTTAAGTCCCTTTTGTTGTTCATACGAGTGTGAAATTGTTTGGACTTGAATTTGTGCATTCTTGGGACTTTTCCCGAAGTGATTCCTTCTTCACAGTTACGTTCCAGTGAGACCCTGGTAGGAGGTCGACCTCCCACCGCGTGCCCATTGTCACGTTCCAGTGGGACCCTGGCAGGCGGTCGACCGCCCACCGCGTTCCCACTGGTACGGTGTGTTGATTCCTTGACTTCTCGTTTTATTGATCCATTGTGCGCTTGTATGTGTTCCTTGATGATTCCTTATGTGTTTAATATGTGAATAACAATCTATACTTAAACATGAATGTTGGATTATTTCCTAGTTATATATATATATATATATATATATATATATATATATATATATATATATATATATATATATATATATATATATATTAGATAAATGCATAGGTACGTAGGAGCATATATGTGACACCCCGAAATCCAAATTCATTTAAGGGATTAATTAAGTAATTAATCCTATTTCAATTTGTAATTTAATTCCTTAAATTCCTAAAATTTAATAGTTGGGGACTAGTAATTGACTAGTCAACCCCAAAGTCAAAGTTGTACCTTGAGCTTTGTAAGGAGTTCCCTTGTTCCTTACACTTCCTTATGTTAGTAAGGGTATTCTTGACCTTTCATTTGGTGTTAGTATTGTAACCTAACCTAGTAGACCACCTTCATTCTTCCCTTACACTTTCTAACACTACAAGAAAAATCGCGAATCGCGACGGAATTTTTCCGTCGCGAATGGGCAATATTCCGTCGCGAATCGCGTTTCGCGACGGAATGGCGACGGAATTTATTCCGTCGTCTATCGCCTTGTCGTATTTTGATAGACGACGGAATAATTCCGTCGCAACTTTTGGCGACGGACTTAGCGACGGAATATTTCCGTCGCCAAATAGCGACGGAAATATTCCGTCGCCCATTTCGCAACGGAACTGTTTCCGTCGCAAATCTGTCGTTATTTCTGAATCGATTATTCCATCGCAATATTATCTTTTCCGTCGCCCATTTCGCAACGGAAATGTTTCCCACCATAATTCCGCCACATCATTTGCAACAAATATTTTGTCGCGTTTTTGAATTATTTTAAAATAAAATTGTGATTTTAAATAGTAATAAATGTTTTTAAAATATCTTAATGTCCTATATCTCAATAATAGCAATTTAACGCCTTAGGCTGGGAAAAAAACAACATAGAGATACGATGATGCTTTATTATTTAAAATTTCAAAACTAAAACGAAAGGTTTAACAGGATGCATCATTAGTCTCTCTAACGACTACATTACAGTAATCATGTACACATGATTTTCAAATACTTCTACATGATGGTTCCACTAGGAATCAATGCATCCTTGATGATTGTGACGATTCCACTTTTAATGAAATATCCTTCAGTTTCCCTAGCTGCTTCTTGAACATTTTCACTGTTAATGATCTGAAAAAATCAAGAGTCAAGTTAGTTGCTTCTTTATGTTACACGTGCAGAGGAAGATTGAGCACACTTGTTCACTAGATTAATGGCCAAGTTTTTAAAAGCAAAAAGAGGAGAAGAGCAGAAAAATATTTGATATTGAACCTTCACACCATTCCCAATACATGCACTGGATAGATAGTTTTTCACCATCATCCTGCTTCCCCTAGGAATGTTAGCTTTGAGCTACCCAATCTAAGCATTTATAATAAACAGAAAAAGTTTGAAGCAAATAATGAAAAGATGAGCATATGTATGAAGAAGAAAAAGAAGCATAAATGATTTCCTTGTATGTAAAGTGAACTATACATCATTAGCTGGACTTTGAGAACTCAACACAAGTTTCCATATGCATGCATATTGTGTCAAATTTATACTCTATAAATTTACCTCTGATAATAAAACACCCATGCCCAATGCCCTCCTGACCAGGCCCATGGCAGATTCATGCCATATCTCATTAAGGTTTATTTTATTCCTGTTGACAGTTGAAAAAGGTAAATATAAAAAAAAAATTGACGTCATTAAGAGTATATGAAGTGGCAGGAGATAGACGGTACTTCTTCAACATTTTGGCAGATAGATCTCTAGGATCTATGACATCAACAGCCCATCCTATTGAACCATTAGTCTTCAGTTCTTCAAACAACTCTTCCATCTTCTCTTCTTTCAAAATTTTAGAGTCTATGTAAAGAAAGGAGCAAACAGTTGCAGATGAAGCAGTTAATTAATGTTGTTGGGAAAGATAAATGCTGAAAAGCAAATAGGAAGAACATGTTTCCTTTAGTAACACCTGGCAATGCAATATACTGAAAATCATGTAGTAAACGACAACAAAGGATGCAAAATTACTTAATCCCATACAGCATTGGCCATTAATTCAGTTTTCGACTTGCATTGTTGGATAACAGCCAAATTATGACAAAAAGAAAAGACAGGAAAGGGGCACAGAGTTGTCTATAATGCTAGTCTCCAGTCCTGCAGATTGTTTGCTCAACTGAAAACTTGAAATTGTTTCCATATTCTTCCTTTCCAATGGAAATTATATAGGATCCTAAAACCTAAAATAATGTCTTGGTTCTAACCAAACCCTCAATCAAGAGCTAGTACATCAATTTCCCTCTAGGAAAACTCTAAAAGGAATAACATACAAAGTTCCACAAGTAAACTGTCAATCCTAACAAATAAATCCACATAACTGATCCAAAGAGAGAAAATTCCCTTTCTTTCTACGGAAAAGCCTTAATGATCTAAGTAGTTGACATGATTCTAGGATCCTCAGTGCCCTAAGGTTCTACAAGATGATTCCTGGCAAGCTACATTTCCAAATATTAATTGAAAGTGTCCTACTGTCAATAGGGAAGTTAGAACTCACATATTCATATTTAAACTTAAACTTAAACTTCTGAAACTGTAAAAAGCTTGAGACTTGTAAAATGAAACTATAATTGCAGAGGTCACATTACCAATAGCTTAAATAATTCATGTGACTCTAAACAACAAATAATTCAGTGTTTCAACCCAGTCCACCTCTTCAGAAAAATGTTTTTTTTAGTCAAACGATTAGCGTTCAATTTAATCTGTAGACGATGCAAAACTTTCTTTTTTATCGAAACAGTAATAAAAGACTCAAGATTTAATAGATAAGAATGACACTAACCAGCAAAGTTTAAAGTTGAAAGGGTATTCGCGCAATATAAGAACCCGTACACCATTGGTCCTGTGAATTGGAAGCATGAATTGAAGCACTGTCAATCAAACAGTTACATAACAAAAGAAGAAGAGGAGGATGAGGAGATATTGGTTCATTTGTGTACCTAAAACTGATGAACCCAGACCAGTGAGACCATAGACCACAATCACCTCATATACTGATAATTTTACACATACCACATATACTGATATACTACCAAGATTCATAGTACAATCCAATCACACAATTTATTTTAATATAAAATTTAAAGTAAACAAAAAATAAAAATTACCTTGAATAGATTGTTAAATTTTGGAGTTTGAGACTTAGATTTATGGAATCTGGATTTTGGAGTCTGGAGAAAAATTGCAAAATCTAAGACCTTTGATTTATCAAAGACATCAAAGTTCAAAGTCAACAAAAAAATTGGAGTAACTTACCCTTTGACAGAGATGCTGAGCCGCTGAGGTGCTGAGGCTACAAGAGTACGAGGCGAGAGGGTTGTGTGAAACTGTTAACTATGAAAACTGGAGAAGTGGAGAGAGGGCTGGCACCTAGGGACTGGGGGACAGGCGGAGACAGAGTGGAGGGCTTCTTGCGACTCCCCTCTCGCCCAGTCACCGGAGAGGGCAGCGGCGCTGCGCGGCTCGCCGGTGGAGTTGCGACTTGCGAGGGCGATTGCGTGGCTGGACTAGGGTTTGGGCGTTCAGCGGACTTGAGAGAATGAGAGAATGAGAGACAGTGAGACAGAACTCTGGGGTAAAAGGTTTTTCTATAATTATATAATTTATAATTTATAATATATTAATATTAATATATACATATAAATATTGCAACGGAATCCAGACGGTTGCAATTTCCATCGCAATATTGAGTTAATATATCAAAATTTAATTCACCTAACGACGGAAACAAGTCGGTCGCAATTTTCGTCGCGATTTTGAGACGGAACGAACATCGGTCGTTTTTTCCGTCGCAAAATGGGCGATGGAAATTAGTTCCGTCGTAAATTATGTCGTTAATATTTTACCGCCAATATTTCGCGGGCTTTATTTATCTTTGCGCCAAGATTCGCGATGGAATTTAATTCCGTTGCCTTTTCCATCGCCATTTTGCAACGGAATGTATTCGGTCGCAATTTCGGTCGCTAAATGGCGACAGAATATAGTCCGTCGTGATTTTCCGTCGCGATTCGCGATTTTTCTTGTAGTGAAAATCTAGCTCCACCTTCTCTCTAAAAAGGTGAGTAGCTTTTCTTCCAAGCCAAGTTGGAGCCTTGCCAAAACTTCAAGAGTTGCTTCCAAGATTCAACCTTTCATATATTTGGGCATCTAGGAGGGTAAGATCTAAGTTCATCTTGTGTTTTTGGTTTGATCTAAGGTGTCTTTTCTTAAAGATAGGATCTTTATGATCTGTTGGTATGTTCTTGAAGTGGGTTTGGAAGGTGAGCCTAGTGAGGAGCTTGTTGAGGTGTAAAGTGAAGTCTTTAGTCTACAAGAGGTAACCCATGCTCTACGAAATCTATTTTGCTTACCTATTTGATGATTCTTGCATTCTACATGTGATTTGCTACGAAATGTGAGTGTTTATGCATTGTCTTGTGAAAATGCATATCTAGAGCTTGTGTTTAGGGTTCTTGTGTGCCATTGCTTGGCCATTCCTTTGATTCAAGTCATTTTGTTGTATTTGGTGAGATTTGGCATGTTTTGGACTTGAATTTGAGCTTGGTGTTGAAAATCCCCGAAGGGATTATTTCGGTGTACAGGAGTGTACCCGCGGGCGGAACGGCGAGCAGTGGCCTACCCGCGGGGTATAGATGCTTCGTGGGTATGTACCCACAGGAAGAACCACGGGTGGGAGCCTACCCATGGGTCATCCCGCGGGGAACATGCTGTTGTTGTTGTGGGATTTGTTCCCCGTTATTCTTTAGACTCGGTATTTGGTCTTTTGACTTCCCGTTGTTCTTTTGTGTAACTATTTGAGCGTCTTCTTGATGTTTCGTATGTCTAGAACTATGTGGTAGGTATCCATGTAGGCTTTTGCTGTCGTGAATCGTGCTAAGTGTTCAACATTGTGTTTCGTTGAACCGTGATGAGTCTTGTGTGTTCTTCAAAACTACGTTTGGTTTACCCGTTTGTTAAGCATGCTAGTTCGGTGTTTAAATGCTAGCATGTGTGTTGTTTGTACCTTCCTATTGGTTGATGATAACTTGGGTTATTCATCGTTGTTGTTGTTGGGCTGTGATCCATTCCTTGATTGAGTATGGTTTCATATCTTCGTTGTGATCCGTTGATTGATTCCTGTTGTGGTGTGATGTGTGTGTGGCTTGACCTGGATTGCACGATTAGTGGTATGGGACACTAGTCACCAAGGTATTGGAGTGGTCCTCGTGGTGGCCGTGACGTGATTATGGAGTTGTGACCTTTGTGTAAGGTTCACGTATTTCTTGGGAGGCATGTGTTGCCGTGTGTGCGTACGGTACCCTCGTGTACTATGAAATCGGTGGTTTTGTTGGAGGGACTGTTGGAGGGGGAACGACGGTTCCCGGAGGAATAAGGTTGGACTTGGCGTACAGGGGTCCTGGAGGTAAAGGTCGGAACTAGATATAAGGTTGGGGGTAGCCATAAGGTTGGAACCGGGCATAAGGAAGGCATATCAACTCGTGATGGGTGACGTCACGAAGGCTTGTGTAGCCGTTGTTGTGAGTTCTTTTCTTGTGACGTGTGTAGTCACAAAGGCATGTGTTGCCGTTGATCTTGTCTTTATCCTTTTGAGTTGTTGTTATCCTTTGTGGTCTTGGGATGTGTTCCCGTGTTATTGTTGTGAGTGTTGAGTCTTGTGTTGACTATTACTCTTGGTTTTGTACTTATATATACGTATTCCGTTTCGAAAATGGCTTTACAACTTATATCCTATCTATGTATGATATTTCACATGTATTGGTGGGTTACCAGCATTATTCGCTGACCGGTCGTCGTCCCATGTTTTATTGTGTTCTTTTAGGTGATGTATAGACGAGTACGCGGTCTAGTGCTTGCTAGTATAGCTTCTCCCTTTTGTTTTCTGGCCTGTGTGCCAGCTTAGATATAGAACTTAAAGACAATGGGTTTAGATGTAAACATTGCAGATGTTGCCGTAGCGTTCATCCTTTTGGTGAACGTGGCATAACACCCCGTGTTTCGGTTTATGTTTATCTATCTATCTTTCAGACTTCCGCTGTGTTTGTTGTTTAGCTCAGTTATCTGCATGTTTAAGGCTTTTAAATAGCTTGTTTTTAGGGGGTGTTACAATATATATGTACGGTACGTAATAATCCTTGTCCCCTAACTCTATTACCTAATATCGTCATAAACCCTATTACATGTTGGGCCCAATACTATACTCATAGTTCTAATATACGTGTACATTTTTTTTTGAATGCAACCATACGCGGTCATTTTATAGATAAACCTGAATAGAGTCAGGGGGGACTGAGTCCCAATACAAAGCTGTAGACTGTTCTGAAACTGTAGAAGCTAAGGTATGAGATAATAAATTCTGAGATCTAGGAATAAAATTAACTGAGCAAAAATCAAAAGTAGATATGCAAGTCTTGCAAGCATCAACCGCATAGCCGATATTTGATCTGAGGGGGGGGGGGGGGGGGTCCTATTGAGGACAGATAGCAGTGTAGAGTCTAACAATCCGTGTAAAGTCGGACGGTGTGCTCGCCACGGTCCTGTAACCAAGATAAAGCCTCCTTACACGCAAAAGCCTCAACCATGAGTGGGGAGAAACAGTCCGGTAAGGGGGCATTGTACGCTGCAATGAATCTTCCATCGGGCTCTAGCAGCACAGCTCCTACCAAGGATGCGTTCGTAGCATGGTGGTAGCCGGCATCCATATAACATTTTCGTGGGGCTGCGGCATGGACGGTCTCCGGCACAGATGCGGTCTCGTCCGGCAGTGGCGGTGGCGGCAGTCCAGCAGTGGAGACGGCGGCAGTTACATCGCCGGCAGCCGTGGCATGGTGTACGACCTTCCACGCTTGCATGGCGGCTACTGCGTTGGCAACAATTTTTCTGGGCAAAGGTAAGCAAGCATCCCAAACCGCTCCATTTCGTGCTTTCCAGATATGATAAAGAATTGCAGCTGCATATATAATCCCATTAGTGTTTAGAACATTTAACATTGCATTAAACCACTCATGGAAAACATTTGTCACAATATTGGGGAGTGGAAGGTTAGATAGAGTCCATATGGAGTTAGCATAACCACACGATACTAAAGCATGCAATGTGTCCTCTTGCATAATTCCACACATGGCACAAATCGGATCCACATCCAACCTCTTTATAAGCAAATTATTTGTGGTGGGAAGGATGTCACTTATAGCTCTCCATAAAAATGTCTTCCATTTTGGGGGGATTTTTAATCTCCATAAAGCGAGTCATTTATCAAATGCTCCATCATTACTACTCGTATAATTTCCTACCATACGCTTGTAGCCATCCTTAACTAAGTAGGTACCCTTATAAGGATGTCACTTATAGCTCTCCTGCTAATTGGGGTGGCATCTCAGTATGGATCATGGGATCCAATTCATCTTGGAGCCATGGGATCCTTAGCTGCCATAATATTGCGCCAACAAAAACTAGGATTATTCCCCAGCCCTGCCTCATAAAAGGTATGTTTGGGATAATATCTGGCCCGATAAACACGAGACACCAATGAGTCTGTATTAGTTAGCATTCGCCATGCCTGCTTACCTAACATTGCCAGATTAAAAACTCTTAGACCCTTAAATCCCAGTCCCCCATACTTCTTTCGGACACACAACTTATCCCATGCCTTCCAATGAATACCATGGTTAGTTCCTGTCCCCCACCAATATCTATTCATTGTTCGTTCAATAGCCGTGCAGACAGATATAGGTAGCCAAAGAACTCCCATCGAAAAGGTAGTCATTGCTTGAGCCACACTTTTTAATAGCAACTTTTTACTCCACGAA